GATAGTCGATTTAAGGAAAGCCAATAGGAAACCATCCATTTCCTTGCTGTTTCCTCACATCAGGCTTGCTTTCCCTTCAAATGTCCGTGGAAGCAGTGTGGGCCCATGAAGGGAATTCATGAGCATGCAGCGTGGACTGTTTGTTGAGACCTGACATGACTCTTGGTCATTTCGCCAGATTCTGAGGGGGGCGGGGCTGAGATGGGTTTGTCTCCCAGCGGGTGACCTCCAAAATGGGTCCCAGATTGAGCCTGCCCCATCTTTCAAGGGCGGCTCGAAGCGGTCAATGACTTTGCACCGATCAGGAGCAAAATAGACCGCCAGCCTCCTTGTGGTCATTCCTTTGAAGGCCCAACTAGCCGCAAGTGGTCGCCTCTCCCATCAAGGAAGCACTCTCCAAGGGTCGAGTTTCGATCAAATTGCCCTATACACAGGTCCCTTCAATAGATGCCCTAAGTACTGCAAGTGCGGAACAAACCAAGCCCAGTGAATTCAAACCCGGTTTTTGTTGGTTGCCTTACTAAACCAATCTTGAGTTGCGCGGAAGAAAGTTGCAGCACCTCTCCTGCCGCGCCGCGAAGGAATCTTTGATTCCGACCTCCTTCCATTTGGTTCAGACTATTTTGTATGTTCCCCTGTTAATGTCAAAGGAAATCGATTTCACTACTTGACATTTCTTATTTTATTTTTTTCCCAAGGGACGAAAAAGCAAATGGAGGCCTCAGGCACGGCATGTCCCGGGCCAATTGGCGCAGGCCGGTGGCTGCGGCGAGCGGCGAGCCACTGCCGCCGCCAGAGGCGGCGCTGTGGGGCGGTGCCCGGCGGTGTGCGTCACACACTGCTCTTCCTGGGAATGGATGACACTAGGTCCCAACCAGCTAGGTGCCCTTCTGAACCCCTTTTTTTGGTTGGGTTTGGGTTCCCCAACTAAAATAGACGACAGAGAAAGGATACCCTCATTCTAACTCCTCTCTACTGGAGGACCTAGGGTGTGTCACCAAAAAATCGGCAACTCGCAAAACCGGTGGATTTTCTTGGTGGTTTCCCGCTTTTCCCAACTTAAAGAGGGTGCCCTCACTCAAAACAAGGAACACCTGTTTTTGTTTGGTGGGTTCCGCACTAAAGCTGGTCCACCCAGAAAAAGGGCTCCCCTTTTTTCCGAGGTTTTTTGAGCGGCCCTCCGTGTTGGCCTGTTGCTTTGCTTGATTTCGCTGGGGCCACGGCGGAGGCGTGCAGAGCTAAGGTTGTAAGCACTTTCCTTTGGTGCACTTTGCCAAGGGATGTTAGGACTTTAACTGTTTGCCAACTACTGGGTTTTCCACTAAACCACTAAAAGTTAAACTTTTAGCAGGGGAGCAGAAAGCAACGGAGTTTCTGCAGACTTTTCTTCACCCAGAGGGTGCTGGCTTCGGCTTGCAATGGAAGACCCAACCCCATTAGACACCCCGGGAATCGGTGGTTGGGGTTCTCACCCTGTTTGAGGGTCCTTAAAAATCATCGGGAGCCTCGGGAAGCGGATTTGTTGGGGTTGCTATGGCTATTGCATCTCTAAGTGTCAACGACACTCCTTTTGTTTAGGATTGAATGCATGCATTGAATCGGCAGGCTGGTCGGATCTCAGGGGGTCTTGCGACCTGAGACTGGAAGAAAGCTGGGAATTCCATGGGTTGGGGCGAAATGCTGTGCACCCAGAGGCTGTGATTTCCGGTTTGAACTAAAGGGTGTGGCCTAGGCTTCCCCTTTCGCCGTGATCGAGGGCACACTATGCCAAGTCGCGGACATGTCACGGGCCACGCTACTTCACGCAACTTTGTCTTTGACTTGCTCCCCCAGTAGTGCCCTTTTACCCTTTTTTGGGGGAGGGTTCCCCTACTAAAATAGGCTACAGAAAAAAGGGCACCCTTATTCTAACCTCTCTACTGGAGGACCTAGTTGAGCATGTCGTGCCCACATCCGAAAACTACGTGCTAGTTAAACCATCTTGTTCCCCCGACACTTGTTGCACTGGGGCCAGGTTCAGTTGACATGGTTTGTCAATCCTTGGCTTTAAGCATGAACCCGCCAGGAATTCCAGTGTTTTCTCTTTAGCAGTCCGCGGACCAAGTTGAACTGAAGCTCCTTTGACCGGGTCCTCCGGTAGTTTTTTTTTTTTTTTTTCTCGGTGACGTGAATCACGGGACCAGCTTGACGCGAGTTTCCTTTGGGGTGATGCCTCAGAGGGACATGTGGGGACGGCCCGTTTTGGCCCCTCAAATTCTGAGTCGGCAATGCGCAGAGAGAGCTCATGCCACGCCCAGATCCCAGGCAAGGCCAGGGTAAGCACCCTTTTCCCTGTTGGTTTCTAAAAAAGTTTAGGTTCCCTCTTTGCTTTCTGAGTATGGCTAACTCACTGGAATCACTGGGAGAAATTCTAGGCAAATCACAGGTACTTCTCGCAAAGCGGGTTTGAGGTCATTAGCCCAATTGAATCCGCCCAGATGAGCCACAATCAAAGCCGATTCGGGTAGATGAATGTAACTCTACTGCTGGTGGGTTGGATCTTTAGACTTTAACTTTTTTGGATTCCCCTCATATTTCCTTTTGACCAGCAAAAAGTGTTCGATCTACAGCACCCAAGGTGATAGTGCCACCCATGCCCAGGTGCCTTCGCCGCCTTTTGAATTGTGTTTGAAGATCCTCCCACCCATTCACATGCAACCAGGCGTTCGGGACCCAGTCCCTTAAGGAAAATGGTCCAAACCAGAAACCCCCGAATCGTCGGGTTCCATGTGAAAAGGGTGGGAAGGTAACTATGACTCAGATGACTCCCATGGGTGGCATCGTTTGCTTTAGCTCCCATGGAGCTTTGTTGTTGCCGCAGCATTGGCTCACTGAACCTCGCCTTCGCCGTCACTAAGGCAGGATGGAGGAAGAACATACATTTGGGGACAGCTTCTTGTGTTACTGTGGATGGGCGAAGTTCACTTCGCACCACTTTGAAACCATGGGAAACCATTGTTTGTTGGTATGTACGGGGGGATCATCGTTCTAGGGTGCAGGATTTCGTCCATCCACAGTAGTGCTCAGTAGGGAATGACCGTTCCGGGTGGTGGGAATGAACCTAGGAATTCCCTTGAAGGAACCCACAAGGGATGGTTTATGGGTCATTCCCTCATTCCCTGCTGAGCACCAGCAAGTTTTGTTTCAGGATGATTCCTGTTTGCTGTTGTTCCACAACGTCCATTTTTCTTTGTGTCATTACAGTCAACGACACACTCATAGGGGAATTACAAGCTGAGGAAGCAATACTGTAGTAGTTCCTGTAACCTTGATCAGGTGAGTTGCCAGCAACGATCAAGCACCATTCAACTTAGCCTTGGAGTGTCAACTGGGACTCCGCAGAAGGAACGGTTCAGGGCGCGGGCGCAGTATTGTGTCAAGTTTGTTCAGGGCGCGGTAATTATGCGGCAAATTTTGTTGACGCGGACGGCAGCGGAAGCATTGATTTCTTTTGCCTGAATGTTGTAGCTGACACGCTTTCTTGAACATTAGTAACAAGGATCGTTGCGTGATCGGCTGCAGCGTTTCAGAATATGTGTGCTTTTTTACGCTGTGGATTTACGAAACCCTGCACCTCCTAGAAACCCTGGAACGATGCTTCCGTTGTAAATATCAACAAACCATGTTTTCCCATGGTTTCTTAATTAGGTGGTGCGCACGGATTTGGTCCATCCACAGTGGCATTCGAGCATTGTTACTGGCTACAAGCATTGAGCAAGGACATTTCCCCCCCCCCACGCGCCGAAGCCACACAACCCAAGCCTGCCGCGTGTCGCCTGCGGCTTCCGCCGCGCGGCGAAAAAAGCCGATTTCTGACATGTGTTCGGAATGTTTCAAACCCTCAACTAGTGGTTTGGAGTGGCGGGATTTGAACCGGTTCTAGAGGGTAAGTGTCAAAACCGATTCGGGTAGATGAAGGTAAGGGACAATCCCAACCACAAATAGCTGCGGATATCCGCCTTCTTAATTCTTTACATGGTTCTGGGTCAACCATTTTAGCACCGGGTTTTGATTGTGACTCAAATGAGAAAACCCCTCCTCAGCCACCAAACCACCAATCCAAACCGCCAATTAGCGGGAAGCTGAATGTTGGTCACTGCTCAGTTGGACCCTTGCAGCGATCTCTTCGCTGGATTTCGCAAACAGATTTCGCAAACATTTACAGTGCTCAGTATCCAAATGAGCTTCGACATATCCTTCTTCGATGAGCTTGTTCCAATCTAAGGGTTTTTGTAGTACACCCTGGGAACACACCCACTGGGTCTTGACCCCATTTAGGCACATTTCCGGATAAACAAATCACGGATTTGTTTTTGAACCATTCCAGGGGTCATTTTTTAAGGGTGTAATCCCAGGGTGAAATACCAAAAAATAAGTTCGCACCACTTTGAAACCATGGTTGAAACCATTGAAACTGTATTTCCATTGTCCATCCACAGTATGTCCCATTTTGAAACTATGGGAAACCATGGGAAACCGTGGTTTGTTGGTATTTACGTTGGGGAATAAACTCCTTCCTTGGGTTTCTTAGGTGGTGCGAAATGGATGGATTTCGTGGACCCATCCACAGTATCCTCCTTCGGGCTTGTTCAAAAGTATTGGTATGGCGGACATGAGTGGACTGAACCAGGGACTCCATGAGTTTCCCATGAAACCACGCAGAAAATCTTAGCTTCACCGTCTTCCATTTGGTTAAGAACATGTTTTTCATTTTCTCCTGTTGGTTTTAAAGGGAATCTATCTCTACTGGATTCTTCTTTTTTCCAGGGGACTTAAGCAAATGGAGTGGCTCAATCCCCCAGCCTCTTAAAATGCAACTGGGGGAGGGGATTCGCCCCTGCAATTCCATTTCTAGCCCATTTTCCCTCTCGAACTTGGGTCCCAACTCCCACCTCTTCCCCTTCCGGAGGGCACCGTGGCTCACACCTGACGTTCGAACGCCGCCGATCGACCGCGTCAGGATGGCGCCCAACGGGGACTTCCATCGGACCGAGTCCTTCTATGGCTGTGCCTACTGCACCGAGGTGCGAAGCACGACTGACTTTGGCCGTGAAAAGCGTGGGATACCATTGCGCATTTTGCCAAGGGATGTAGGACTTTAACTTTTGCGAACAAATGGGTTTTCCATCAAACCACTCAAAGTTAAACTTTTAGCAAGGGAACAGAAAGCAACCGAGCTATCGTTTTTCCCTTGAGCCTGGGGTGGTGTGCCACAGATGCGCAAAGGATTGTAACTCGGGTAACGCCCGAATCTCCTTTGAGTTGGTGTTCGAGGTTTTTGTGCTTGAGTGTGGTTAGTCGGTTGGTTGGTCTACTTGCAATATTTAGGACATGCACCGGCGGGTCCCGACATGAGCTGGCCGGTACACTGAATTGCTTGTGGGGTGTGAAAAGAATTTGGCTTGGGACCCAACATTTCATTGGGAACCTTAGGGACGTGCAAATTGACATGAAACCCAAGAAACACCAGTTTGTAGAGGAGTCTCTTGGAGGACTGAGACTGCAATGCTGATTTTGAGGAGAGTGACATGAGCATCCCTTTTTATGTTCGGTGGTCAAAGGGAATCCAAATGCAAAGCAGCACTTATTTTAAATTAAAGTGTGCGCCATTTTGAGAAACCTCCACCTGGAGTCTCCATGACCCAAAATAAAAATAGGTCCGTGACCAACCATTATTTCGGGTAATGACCAACCATTTTTGATGCGGGTCAGAAGGAGACTCTAGGCAGACATCCACCACCCACCGAGCTCTTTCCGGGCGAAGCAGTCCAGGAGTTTGGGTTCTCAAGGCGTGTTCTCGGCGATCGGAACCAGGAGCCCGTACGGTGCGGCACGGAGCAACTCGCTTCCCAAGTTTCGTTTTTTTTTTTTTTTCCCAGACAGATATATTTCCAGCCCAGAGGCTCCTGGGGCTTTGAATGGAAGACCCGACCCCTCCATTAGACACCCCGGAGGTGATTGGGGGTCTCAAAACCAGGTTGTTTGAAGGCCCTAAATCAATCGGGAGCCTCTGGGAGTGATAGATGTCCTTTGAAACCAAGGGGAATAAAAACCATGTTAAGCATAGGGATGTGTTAGGTCCCTAGGTGCCCTTGCTCACCCCTTTGTTTTGGGAGGGTTCCCGGGAGTAAAATAGACGACAGAAAAAGGGTTTGCCCTTATTCTAACCTCTCTACTGGAGGACCTAGGTCTGTTTGCAACAGCCACTCCCAGTTCGGACTCGGTTTGTTTTTGCCAATCCACTCAGATGGGAGCCGTCGCGAAGGGAGCAAACTTGCGTGATTGCAGCAACCTGGTTTTTGTTTCTGAGCTTTGCTGCTTTGTTTGCATGCACCATTCGTGTCCAAGAAGGCTACGGCGATTGAGCGGACTACCTTTATGTGCCTTTGACTACGGCTTCATACTGTGGATGGACGAAATCCTGCACCACCCAAGAAACCGTAGAACGATGATCCCCTTGTACATACCAACAAACGTCATGGTTTCAACCATGGTTTCAAAGTGGTGCGAAATGGATTTCGTCCATCCACAGTATGTTTTATGTTCGTCATGATTCCGAGCTCCTCCATTCCATATACTCCCATTCCCGCCGGAAAATTAGAAGCCCTCGCCACTGCTGTTGGGTTGTATCTTTAGACTTTAACTTTTTGGATTCCCCTCATACCTGGAGTCTCCATGTCCCTTGAAAAATGGGGTCATTGCCCAAAATAATGGCTGGTCATTGACCCATTTTTAAAGGGTCATGGAGACTCTAGGTATTTCTTTTAACCAGCAAGTTAAAAACTTCTTGCTGGGGGTTCTACAGCACCCAAGTCGCGGCGGGGTTTCCATGTGAAGGCCTACCCGGATGCGAAAGAGCTCCAAGTGCACATCAAGCAACTCGGCGAGCTCGAGGCCAACTTTTTGCTCGTGCCCCGAGTCGAACCCCACTGAAGCCACTGCTTCTTGGTCCCCAGTGCCCTTTTACCGTTTCTTTTTTGGTTGGGAGGGTTCAATTCCCTACTAAAATAGACTACAGAAAAAAGGGCACCCTTATTCTATCCTCTCTACTGGAGGACCTAGCATAAGATGCCCAACTTCCCAAACAGCATCCTGAAAAGGAGCTTGGGACCCCCTATGGACCCTTTATTTCTGCCTGGACGACCCCCGAAAAATCGTAAGGCAGACATTTTGGTGTCCGACTGCACTTGGGGCGTGGAGAATGTGCCAAACCTTTGGGTTCCGGCTCGGAATTTCCCAGGTTCGGCTTTGTTCGTGCTTGCATTGCTCGCGCCCTTGCAGCGTTGCTTAAACAATACAGTGGATGGACAAAATTGCACCACCCAAGAAACTCTAGAATGCTGATTCCCCTGTAAATACCAACATACCATGGTTTCCCGTGGTTTCAAAGTGGTGCAAGATTTCGTCCATCCACAGTATGAAGGATTCTTGGGGGGGGAATAGGGCTAAACAAAGGGAACACGAAGGCGTCCCTAGAAACGATGCCTGCGACAAGGTGAACACCCCTGCACAACGAAGTCGACCCTTTAAAACGCAGCCTCAAGAGATATTCCATGCCATGTTTGCGCCTCATGATTTTGGAGATAGCTCATATGATGATCCATTTAGCTGCTTTCTCCAAGAGCTGGACAAAAATAATTTAACCAAGAAGCTGGCCCAACCGCACAACTTTTCCCTCCCCCTCGCTGATTTGGTGGTTGAGTGTCCATTTCACCCACAAGTTACTCACTTTTAGCAGGGCATCAATTCGCACCACTTTGAAACAATGGGAAGCCATTGTTTGTTAGTATTTACGTTGGGGAATCGAATCATTCTAGGGTTTCGGATGACTGGTGCGTTGCATGGATTTCGCAACCATCCACAGTAGGGACCAAACACCGGGTATGTCTTGGGTCTTTTTCCATCCTCTATAGATAGGACACAGAAAAAAGGGTAGCCTTTTTAGGGGGAGGGTTCCCCTAAATAGACCACAGAAAAAAAGTTGGTTTACCCTTATTCTGACCTCTCTACCGGCTTGGCGGTTCGTAGCCAATCTTCCGGTTCCTTGGATTTTTACGGGTTTCCAGGTTTCCATTTCACCCACAAGCTGGTCACTTTTAGCAGGGGACAGTCCTCAGCCCAGAAACGGACCAAGCGCCGGGTGTGTCTTGGGTCTTTTGCCTGGTCTTCGATTAGCTGAGGATGGTCCACGAGGGCAAACCCTTCTCCTCGAAGCCTGCGCCGTTGCCGGCGAAGTGGGGCCCTGAGTTTTCGGTTTTGGTTCGTGGCAGCTTGGGTTGGACTCTCCGGGCGGTAGGATACCCCCAAGCTCAGGTATGTTTACTGGGGTAGACTTAGGATACATTTTACATGTTACCAGCGACTCCATGTGAAGCAAACAATATAATATACATTCTATAACTGAGCCTAACTCTAATCATGTTTGGACTGCCCGGGCTCTGTCAGCTTCCCCCAAGCTCAATTTTTGGTGTGGACTGGTGGGTTTTGAAACGGGTTCTTGTGAGGCTGGGGCAGTAGGATAAACTTGGGTCAGCTTGCCCCAAGCTCAGGTATGCTTGGTTTGGATTGGTTTGTTTTGAAACCCCTCGGTTGTAGGGCCGGGGGTCCCCCCGAAGCTCTGAACCACTCAATGCCCGCCCCTTTGGTAGACATCACTTTGGGGAGGTATGTCCACCAACCACTTTTTAAGTCCCTAGCAAACTTCCTGATAATTTCGGCGTACCCTTGCTGGATGGGTGTAGAGTTTCCAATTGGGACCAACCTATTTAGTACAGTAGGTTACCCGGGGAAGGAACGTTTAATACCTAGAAGGGAAATAGCTTGCACAATATGAATGGCCAGCCTTTGTTGGGTGTGTCAACCAGCAAAGGCGCCTTTTTCTCCCGTGGCTACCGGACTACTGGACTACTTAAAGGGGCATTGCATATAGGAAGTGGTTAGTAACCATGGTTATAACACACTTACCATGGTTATAAGTCTCCAAGTGGGATATAACCACGCTTGCTAACCACTTAGCAAGTACCCTTCCGCTTTGAGTACTGCTAGGTCCCCCAGTAGTGCCCTTTTACCTTTTTTTTGGGGGAGGGTTCCCCTACTAAACTAGACTACAGCCAAAGTTGGTAGCCTTATTCTAACCTCTCTACTGGAGGACCTACACTGGATGTTTGGGTTGAAGGACCTCTGAAGTGGCGCATGAGCAAAGACCAGTACCTCGCTGGTCGGGGCACTTCAGCCAGCTTCCTCGCGGGGCTGCTGCGACTTTGGATTGCGACCTAACCCCCTTTACTCGGCCATTCCCGAATCCTCCTTGCTTAAGAATATTTGTTATTTTCCTTTGTCGGTTTTAAAAGGAATGTATCACTACTGGACACATTTTTCCTCGGTTCTTAAGCAAATGGAAGTTTACTCGGCCATTCCCAGCGAATCCTCGTGTTCCAGAAAGGTGTTTATAGTTGTTTTTTGTCGGTTTAGTGGTTGGGCTTCCGCATTTTACCCACTAGTTAACCTTGTCGCAGGGGATGCGAGCACATCTCCAAAACACAATTCAGGGCTGTGCCCTGAAAAATCGGGACTAGCATGGCGGCTCCCGTTCCCTTTAAAGCTCCCCTAGGCCACCCAAAAAGGCGAGCCTCCAAAACGCCGACGCCCCGCTCGCGCAGGGAGCAGCGCTTGCTGACGCAGACCCCGGCGGCCGCCATCTCCAAGAGCATCCCGCTCTCCGAGGCCTCGCAACGCGGGTTTTTTCAGCGAGGGTGCCCCTCACGATGTCTCGGGGGTCATCTTCTGGAGGTTTGGTGGGCCATTTTCTTGGACTAAATCGCAAGTTGGGTGACTTTTGGTCAGGGGTTGCTAGATTTCCAATTTTGGGCTGTTTTAAACATCACCCTCTTGGCCTTTTTGAAAGGTGAGTACCCCTTGGTGGGGGTGATGTTTCAAGGGGAAATATGGGGAGCCCTGTGTCTCTTGGCCCCTTGGGGCCGGCAAAATTTCGAGCCCTTGCCCGGAACCGGGAGCCAAATCGCAGCCCTGGAAGTTGGTGTTTGCTGTTGGGTTGCAAAAGGAAAGTTCATTGGAGATAGGTCCCCCAGCTAGGTGCCCCTCTTAACCACTTTTTTGGGGTTCGGGTTCCCCTTCTAAAATAGACAACAGAAAAAAAGTTGGTACTCTTATTCTAACCTCTCTGCTGGAGGACCTAGTCAAGCACGTTGTTGGGCTGCCGCAGAGGCGTTTGGTGCGATCCAGTCACGAGCAAGGTACCCTCAAAACATGGCTGTGCTTTTGTTTGAGGGTGCCTCTCTTTTGTGGGTTTCAAGTAGATCGGAAATACATTTCTGTTTTGGGGGGAAGAGGAGGGGGTCCCAAGAAAGATACAAATATATGCACACCCATCAGATTCAAGCAAGCAATCTGAACTGCAAGCTTCGAGCACTATGCTGAGTCTCAATTGAAAGTCACGCTGTTGTTTGCCGACTTGCATGATATCCTGATTTGGCAGTGGGTCAAAGGAAGCAGGACAAGCAACCAGGCACAGGCAGAACCAAGTCGTAAGTTCGGCTTTGGCTGCAAAAGGCATAGGCTCGCGAAATTATTTCCGCACCATGTGAACCAACAAAAAGGAGAGGCTTCAACAAATTTTCCGCTCCGCGGCTGTGGTGTGGTGCTAACTCGTGTGTTCATATGCCCACCTCTAGACATGTTCGCTTGAGCGGGAAAAAGCCGCCACCTATGTGGGTCTACTCATGTGGGTCCGCTCTTCTTTGGAACATACCGTGCTTTGTGAGTGTTTAGGGAGAACCAAAAGGAGAACCACCAGTTTGGAAGAGTCCTCGCAACAAAGACACGCACATTTGTTGCGGCCAGTGGCTGCTGATTCAAGTTATTGTGCTGCCAGTAAAATGACGATGTTGTCTGGTTATATGCCCTTAGTTTTTGAACTCAAAAGGAGTCTTGGTTGTGGACACACAACACAACCTTGCCTGGTGTTCTCTCCTCTCCCAATTGAAACCTTCACAGAAGCCAGGAGGCTTTTAGACTCACATCTGAAGGTACCAAACTTCCACTTCCAGGATTGAACACAGGGTATTCCACTAGATTCTTAGATGTGTCTCGAAATGGGGGACCCCCGAAAAATGCTGGGTGTCTTTTTGGGTGTCCCTTTAAAACCAACCAAAACGGGTACCAAAGAAACGCACCGATGTGGCCAGGTGAACCGCCACATCACGCCCCATGACTGCTGGGTCGCCTTGAATGGTAAGGTCCGGATGTGAGCTGAAGGGATGTTTCATCGCTGCGGCCGTCTGAGTGTTGAAGCGGGGGACGCGATTCATCATTGTGGCTTAAAAGCAAAGAGCTAGGGCAAACCGCAGGTTGACATGTCTCTGTTTCCGTTTGTCAAACACACCAAATGAACAAACCAAGAAAAGGAGGTCCTTTTTTTATGGCTGTTTGGTTGGATCTTTGAACTTTAACTTTTTGGTTGAAACTTCACGGAGTTTCCATTCTCACAAAAAGTGCACAACTTGTTGCAGAGGGGGCAGCAACCAAGTTGCTGTTTCCCCCACGGCTACTGGCTGCCTTCCTGAGTTCTTAGACTTAAATAGTTTCGGGAGGAGCATTTTAATGCAAACAACAAGTTCAGTTACTTTGTCTGGCCAATCAACTCAGGAAGTGTTATGCAGTTTGTCATCCTCCATGAATAGGATCTGTCTTGTTGATTTGTTCTTGTGACTTGTCAGTAATTCGCCGGCACTGGTTTCACTTCGGTGTCAATTCTGTGCCTCTTGTCCAAAAGGACCCCAATTGTCTGTCGCGAGGGGACAACCAACCCAGTCAACAGAGTGCCTGAGCCCTCGAGAAGGGAATGTGTTATAGCCCCAAGAATATTGTTGGTGGATTCCCTTGGTCCCCCAGTAGTGCCCTTTTTCTTAGATAGGCTACAAAAAAAAGTTGGCACCCTTACTCTAACCTCTCTACTGGAGGACATAGTTCCTTCTTTTTTTTATGGGTAGCTTTTCCGGTCCCGCCCGTTTTTGTTTGGCCCATGGTCACGGGCGTGTGTCGCAGACGTCTCACAGACACGTCTCCGTCTCCAGGTCTACGACCTCTCGGAGTTCATGGATCGACATCCCGGTGGGCCCACCACCATCCTGGCCTGGGCCGGCAAGGAGAGTTCGTTCGCTTCCTCGCGCTTGGTTTGGTCCGTCGCTGGGTTTCTTGGGTTGGTTTGTATGTTTGGCTGAGGCTTTTTGTGGTGTGTGTGCTCCATTTGGCCAAGGGAGGGTAGGACTTCTGCTTTTTTCTTGCCAACGAATGGGTTTTCCAGTAGACCACTAAAAGTTAAACTTTTGGCAGGGGAGCAGAAAAAGCCTCCTTGCAATGTTTGGTTGGTCCGTCGGTTGAGTTGTTTGGTTGGTTGACTCTTTTTGTTTACTTTCCGTGTTGTGCTTGTCTTGGTTGCTTGGTTGGTTGCTTGCTTGCTTGCTTGCTTGCTTGGTTGGTTGGTTGGTTGGTTGGTTGGTTGGTTGTTTTCCACTCGAGACGTAAGTGAAACCAAGGGCTGGACAAGGTGGATTACCCAACCCCAAGCAACTGTTTGGCCAACTAATTGTGTTTATTGCAGTTTTTGTTTATTGGCCAGCTGTGCTCGCTTTGTTTCTCGCGTCCCGCACTGTCCAGGACTTTTACCCGGAAAAACCGAAGTACTCCCAGGAAATCGCCCGGCAATTCCTTGGAAGCTTCCGAACGGATCCTTTTGGAAGACCTGATCTACAGAGGCCAATTGGGAGAGCTCCCGGCTGTTAGTCTGAGTGGAGTGTGTTGATTTTACTTCTGAGCAAATCATTTTGGCGCATCTGCAAGAAAATCAGCACTCCAGGCGAGGTCCTTTGCGCTGGTCCTTCGCGCACGCAAAGTCCGTTGCCACATAAACTAAAAGTCAATGTATGCATTGCATATTTATTACCAAACCGTGCATGTGATTGGGGGTGTCTTAAAAACTGGCGACAGATTAGCTTCCTCTTGGTGTTTCATTCAAACCAAAAGAGGTACCCTTACAGAATGAGAACATGCTCCATCATTGAGCTCCAAATGTCCTCCAATAAAGGGCTTTCTCACCTGAGTCAAAGTGGGTATGTGTCAAGATAGGATGACCAATGTAGGTTCTCCTTTAGATTCCCTCACCAAGGACCAAGATAAAAAGGGGAACTGAGCCTCAACAACAAACACCTCGTTGAAACCAAGAGGAGTCCATTTGGGCATGTTTTTTTCCAGGCGAGGTCAAAAGGACCGACATTGCTTGGGTCCAAATTTCTCTGTTCAGTAGGACTCTTTGGCTCTTCCCGTCAGGACGCTTCCAAATTCTTCAACGACATCCACAAGGCGAAGACGTTTCGCCACGGTTTTCTCACTTCCTGAGTTCCTGAACTTTAAACTTTTCGGGAAGACCATTTTAGTGGTACATAAAAAGTTCGGACTTTTTTTGGCAGATCCACTCAGGAAGTGAGTTTTGGGATCGTTCCTTCGATCTCGGCCCGTCGTAGGTCGCCCTCTGAATCTCAGAATGCTGAACTGACCTTGTCCCCTTAGGTGGTCTGGGACGAATCGCTAAATGGCTAGCTTTGCCCTGGTTACCGGGCACCTACAACCTTTGTAAGTGTTTTTTTTTTGTTTTGACCAGAGTTACTTGCCATTGAGCGATTGCTGAAGTGTGGTTTTCCTTTCCCTATCCCAAGACCTGAAATGCGAGCGCCTTCGCCCACCCGACCTCAAATAACTTGCTGGTGCGAAAGGCAAGGAATGAACCATGGAACGACCCCTATACCTTGTGGTTTCCTTCCCCAAAACTCTAGCTGTCGCACCAGCAAGATGATAGGGTCTTGGGATTCTAGGGTTTGGATTTCTCCCCCAAAAAAACAAAAGAGGGTTCCTTTGAACTAGGTCCCGCAGCTAGGTGCCCTGTTACCCTTTTTTGGGGGAGGGTTCCCCTACTAGAATAAACTACAGAAAGAAGAAGTTAGTACCCTCATTCTAAGCTCTCTACTGGAGGACCTAGTTTAAGAAGTGGTTCCAATTCACAAAAGTTCAGGCGTGACTCGCCAGGCCCGCGAACCGGGGTGTGGCTCAGGTTCAGAAACCTCGGCTCTGCAAAAATCCGATGGTGGAATAGCAATTACCGCAGATTGTAAGAGCACCAACCCAAAACACAGAAAAAAGTTACCGTTTTTCTTTTGTTCCTGTACAAGACGGGTCGGGGATCAGGCGTAATTGAGTAATTGCCCCCATTCGCCGCGTCTGCAAGCATTGACGCCATGTCGGCCAGTTCTCTTGCAGCTGTTTCAGCCAACTCAGCAGGGAATCCAATGGCCCATAGCCTCGTGTATGGCCAAAGTATCCTTGAGGTAGCCATTTGTCACGGGGTTATTCATGGTTGTCTCTTTTTTTTAATGTTTTCGCTTATTGTGGTTTAGTGGTTGAAATCCAACCACTTAACTGCCAAGTTTCTTTTTTTGGCTCCCCTTCCAACGTCAACCAAGTATTGTTCATCTCAATGGAAAAGTCAGATCCCAATGAAAGATACGCCTCTTCAAAGGATGGTCCGGCCGCCAAAAGCGCACGAGGCTTGGGGCAGTGTCCCAATCCCGCACTAAGCAATTCTTCTTGAGCCAGCCTCGGTAGACGATATGTGTCCGGGCCATGGGCTTCCAGGTCTTTCAAGTCCTGCGTCACACGCCAAATTTGGCCTATGGTCATGGTTCCCTTGACAGGAGTTACTAGTACTGCTTAAAGATCCCAGCAGGTGCAGTACCATCCCAACGAGTTAACCCCAAGAAAAGGAACCGGTCTGTTGACTGTCGCGCACGTATGGGCTTGTCTTTTTTGCGGATACCCACCTTGCACTTTCCGAAGTGGTGTAAAGTTCAAAGCGTGTCAAAGGCTTCCACGTCGCCCGTGCCACAAGCCGCCCAGCCCGCTCTGAGGGTGTCAAGATTGACGCCTACCTGCGCCCCGAGTCCTATTTGGGCACCCTCGGCTCCTTGGCCTAAACAAGGCCAATCGGGAGAAGAAGGAAGTGCCCGAAGACTTGGTTATTTGTCGACTTCTCTACATGAAGGAGTTGTTGTCCGGTTTTCTGAGGAAGCAATTTGGTGCCAAGTCTCCACGCAAAAAAAAAGGAAAAAACTCGGCAAATCGTTCTGTGCCGCGTGAAGGGGTCAGTAGCCCAATGGTTTCAACTCAAATACCAGGAGCTCAGAGACATGCAGGCAGCCCTGTAGCAAGACGACTTTCCTTTTGGGCCTTTTTGCACTTCCATGTTAGTTGGTGGGAGGGTCGCAAACACTGGAGGTGCCTTGATAGTGCGTCTGGAGCGACATGTTCCCAGCTTGCTGGCAGCATGCTGGCCATTTCGTTTCAATCGTGGAATTTGTGTGGCGGCTTGTCATGGAGCCCCAATGGACCGATTCCTGTGTTCTGCCGATATGACCCGGAAAGAAGTGATACAAAACGGAAAACAGGATTGATTCGGTCTTCTGGGGCTTCGGGTTGTTTGGTGTTTGTGGACTTGTCAAAACTCACATGTTGATCGCATTGCATTCTGGTCACCTTTGATTTCTGGCTCCAAGGTTGCAACTGAGCAGGACGAAAGACGAATTCCATTTCGCACCACCTAGAAAAACCTGGCATGATGATTCCCGTGTAAATACGACCATGGCTCCAAAGTGATGCAGGACTTTTCCTTATAAAACTAGGTCCCCCAGTAGTGCCCTTTTACCCTTCTTTAAGGGGAGGGTTCCCCTGCTAAGATAGACTGCGGAAAAAAAGTTGGTACCCTTATTCGAACCTCTCTACTGGAGGACCTAGAAAGGATGGAACCCCTTTTGCTAGCTGAAAGGAAAGCCCCCAAGCCAGAAACAGATGTTGGAATTTACAGGAAGTGTGCTCTGTTCCCTTGCAATATTTCGGGGACACCAAGAAAGCATGGTTGAATTTATGCGAAGGTTGCAACATTGAGGGGTTCATGTAAATCAACCAACCAGTGTTGAATTTACTAATACTCACTTCATGAGTTCCTGGACTTTAAGCTGTTTGGAAAGACAAGTTTCGCGCGAAACAAGAAATCAGATAGGTTTTGGCCAGACTCAGCAAGTGAGAATCAGTTGTGGTTTTGAAAACCCGAACCGCAGGTGTTCAGCTTCTCTCAAAGTTCAGGTGTGGACGAGAACCTCATGTCCGACGGCTTTTGGCACACCCTGCGTGAGGCGGGAGCTTGTTTCCTTCTCTCTGTTTTTGCGAGGCCTTGATCGAAAAGCGTTTGGCGTGTTTGTGCAATTTTGTCCATGGACCAACAGGTACCAGATGAAACGTTTGGCCATCAAAGGTGAAGCTTTTTGCACAGGCAATAGCCACACAACTGCACTGAGATGGATGGCAGAAGGCAAACTGGTTTTGGCCCGCTCAGCGAACAGGGATTGAAGAAAAGGCGGCTTCAATGTTCCTGGCGGGACACCTGGGAGTCACGCTGACCAATCCCATTTTGAGTCCGATACTTCACAGGCACGTTGCCAGCAGGCAAGATACCCGGGTGCCTAAAGAACGTCAACTTGCGACATGTGTCGGGAATCCTGAGCGCTGTGTTGGATGGAAACATGTTGCAGCAAAATTGGAGGTTTCGCAAAACTCGGGCCACAGAAATCCTCTTAACCAAAACTCGGTCCCCCAGTAGTTCCCTTTTACCCCCTGTTTTGGTTGGGAGGGTTCCCCTACTAAAATAGACTACAGCAAAAAAGGGTATACCCTTATTCTAACCTCTCCTTCACTGTTCTTGGCATGTTCTTTTTTTTAGTTGTTTGGGTCTGTTCATGTTTACTGGGGGTCTGCAAAAAACAAAGCTGTTCGCTACCATGCCAAGAGTAGAGATGCTTATTCTAACCTCTTTGGAGGACCTAGACCATGTTGAGATGCCTCGAGTTTTTGGGGACTGTTGGCCATCGGGGCTAGGCTCCGATCGAACTTGGGTCAGAGTGGGATCGCAAAAAACGAGGCTGCGAGGCGTTCTCCGATTGGTTGGTTGGGTTGGGTTGGGTTGGGTTGGGTTGGGTTGGGTTGGGTTGGGTTGGTTGGTTGGTTGGTTGGTTGGTTGGGTTGGTTGGTTGGGTTGGTTGGGTGGGTGGGTGGTTGGTTGGTTGGTTGGTTGCTGGGACGACACCCGACAACACTTTTCTGAGGAGTCCAGCACTGCATTTGTATGTTACCTCTTGATTCACGGCCTTGCGCTTAGCTACTTGGCGCTTCGGAAACTCTTTGGACTACGTGTCCAAGGTTGTCTCCGACAGGAAAATGACCCGTGTTTGGTAGGATATGTCATTTTATTAGAGGACTCTTTTACATGTCCCCTGCAGTGGATGCCCTACATATTGCTAGTAGGGCAACAAGGGAAGCTACTCAATGTATTTACCATGGCCTTTAGGATGTGGTTGGCTCTCTTGCACTTCTTATGACTTCAACGGGTACTTTCCAGTTCTCCATCCAGGAATTGGTCAACACCTTCCAGGATTCGGTGGCATGCCCTTCCAGGGTCTATTGGTGTGGGTCGGTATCGCGGTTCGAGGTTTGATCTCGTGAGGTTTCCACCGGAGAGAAATTCTCGGGACTCGAAAATGGCCTTGGGTCACTGGGTCCCGTCGGACTCCCCAATTTTCCCCTCCCCTTGTGCGGTGGTCTTGGGGCATGTCGAATGGGTTCAGAAAAAGCGGGGGCTGCCGGTATCTTGAAAACTGAAGGTCTGTGTCAGGGACGTGTGCAATGGGTAAGAACCAGCGCAAAGGGCAAACACAAAAGTCATGTCTCGCTCGCTCTTTGGAGGAATATGGCTGTGTCTCGGGTGGGCCTTTTCAAGGTAAGCAATTCTTGGGTGGGTTTTTTTTCGAGGGAAACAGATTGAGGACACCGGCCATTTGTGCGGGTCCCATCTCAAAATGTGTTTTTCAAGGGAAGCACACTTTTTGTGGGTCTCATATCATCTTTGAGACACCGCATCATTGGTTCGGTGCTTTTACAGGCGCGCATCGTGGAGGTCAGGGAGGAGATCGACCGGGTGCTGAGCACCGGAGGCCGCTGACACCTTCGATGCGACTTCCGGGTGGGTGACTCTTCCTTCGGTTTGTGTTGCCTTTGAGGCAAACGCCTGTTTGGTGCACTTTGCTTGGAAGTTGGGACTTCAACTTTTTGTCAACTCATGTTTTTGTTCTTTTCTTTTTTTCTGAATTAAAGCCACTAAAAGTTAAACTTTTAGCAGGGAAGAAGAAGACCACCGAGGACTCGTAGGTGTCCTTTTCGTTTTGTTTTTTTTGCTCGAAAAATAGGTGGCGTTGCCTGGTTGAAACCTGGCGGTTCAATGCAGAGTCTGGGTCTTCCATTTGAAGCCCCGGGAGCCTCTGGGTTGAGGCAAGAACCCATGGCATACAAAGGCAGAAGACAGGAAGCGGGTCCTTTGGGGGTCTAGGCTTTGATGACGACTCCAAGTTCTTGTTGCTTTTGTTTGGGGGGGCTTTCTCCCTTCTGATTGGTAAGGATCAACCTGAAGCCAAGCGATGGGGGTGGACAGAACCATTTGGAGCCCAGCGAGCCAGGGGGCGATTGAGCCGTTGAGCGAGCCCTGGAAAAAATCCTCAGATGTCGAGAAAAGGAAAACGCTGCAGATCCTCACATGTCCTTTCTGATTTCTATTTGGTTGGCCATTGATTGCACTGGTTTCAGCATTGGGGATCCGATTCGTCACCTAGAATTAGGCCCCCCTCCTTTTTCCGGACCGAACCATGGACCGCTTGGCAGGTTTGCCGTGTTGGCCCCATATTAGTCAACCCCAGTTTATTAGTGGGGTGGGGAGTTCCCCTCCAAAAGTGGTCTGATTCCAACCACCAACCCCATTGGGACACGCGGGTTGATTAATCTGGGGTCAACATTCGTGGAAATTCGGGCCGCTGAATGCGGGGGGGGAGGGTCAAGAAATAGGTTCAACCACCCTTTGATTCCTGCGGTGCGCATCGTCCGGCGATGGATTTCTGGAGAGGCACACACAAGGCGGACAGCATCCAGCGCCTGATGCAGGAGATTCGGTAGGTTCCAAACCCCTAATCTAGGTGCTCCAGTGCCCTCTTACCCTTTTTTGGGGAGAGTTCCCCTAAAAATAGACTACAGAAAAATTGGGTACCCTTATTCTAGCCTCTCTACTGGAGGACCTAGCCAACCGGAGAGAAGCTGAACTTTCCGTGCCCTCTCGACATGGCCCTGACCGTGGCCCTGCCTGGCGGGAGGAATAGAATACATCTCGGTCTCTGGTGGTGTTCATGAGGCTCTCATGAGGCTCAGCGCCAACTACTGGTCCCCGAGAAAGGAAAAAAACGCTTGGTTTGTTTCGTGGGTGTTCTTCACATGCCTTCCAACAAAAAACCAAAGGAAGGGTTGTACCCCAAAAAAAAGCAAGACGTGATGACAGGGCTGGACCTTTGGACCAATGTTTGGTTTCCTTCCCCTTCAACAAAAACAACAGTGCCTCGAATTGGGGGGGTTCTTGTATTGTTTTCTGTGTGGTACCCAAACACTGCGTGGTCTGTCTGCGTGGACGCTTGGGGTCAATTTCGCCATCGCCTTAGGTCACTTCCTGAAAAGGGGTTGGACCCGCATCGACTATAAAGTGTTTGTAGGATCCCCAATCTCTCGCTCCCTGAGTTCCTGCACTTACTGTTTGGGTCCGGACCGTGTCAGTGGCGAAGGCCGAGTTGGCATTTTTGTCGGCCCCCACTCAAATAGACCACCGAAAAAGGTTGGTTTACCCTTCTAAGCTCTCAAATCTGCGGGGCCTAGTGCATTTAGCAGAAGATCCCACCTATACCCTCTACTGCTGTTGAGTTGGATCTTTAGACTTTAACTTTTTGGATTCCCCTCATATTTCCTTTTGACCAGCAACAAGTTGAAAAACATGTGCTGGGGGATCTACAGCAGCCAAGTACCAAAAGGATGCCTACAGGACAGATTGGTGAAGTACTGCATTTACCAGGGAAACCCACCTATTCTACCAAAAGGGTGTTATTGCGTTCACCAGGGAAACCTACCTATTACACTGAAATGAAGGCCAATGCACAGGACAAGCACCTGGACCCTGCCCTGAAGACCAAGATCAACCGCTTGGAGACGCAGAAGCGGGCCGCCCTGGATGCTGAGGACCCATCCATCGCCCATAGAGTCCACTAGTCTGGGAGAGGGGTTGAATCAGGGAAACCAACTAGCAGGGATACAGGGGGAACCAGGGATACGGGAGCATTCCCCCTAAATGCACCTTGACTAAGTTTGAGATGGGAAATGGTGCCAAGGGAATCCCCCCATATCGGGACCCGCTCCCTCCGTATCCCCGCGGAAGTTGGTTTGTCCAATTCCAGGTTTTTCCAGTGCCCAATTTTGCCTTTTTCTTTGGCTCCGGGTCCCCCAGCTGGGTGCCCTTTCTCACCCCTTTTTTGGTCGGGAGAGTTCCCCTATAGTAAAATAGACTAATTACGGAGAAAAGTGGCGTACCCTATTCTAACCTCTCTACCGGAGGACCAGGGTTGAACACGAGGGATTTGGGCCCATGGTTCTAAGAAACGGTTTGGAGGCGGTTTTTGTGGATCCACCGCTGGAGATTCATTCAGTACGAAACGCGTGCGAACCAAGAACCTACAGGGGTAAAAGAACAGGGGAAAATTCCACAAAATGCGCATCCAAACCGTTTTCCAGAATGGTAGGTCCTTTTCTCGGGGAGCCCAGTTTGTTGTAGGTTTTGCAGGGGTTTGTCAGTTTTTCCCTTGGTTCGACCTCCAAAGCTGGCATTTTTTTCACCTACCAGTTGCAAAAGAGAGAACAAAACGCCAATTTCGGGGCCGGGCGACCCCCTGTGGAATAAAAGGCTTGATGGGTGAAACAACGTCGCTTCGCCGCCCGTCCCCCTGACACTCGCGGGAGTTGCCAAGTTGCCATACCAAACGGCACCCAGAACCCCCATTCATGTTCATGTGGGTCATTGCCATTGGCATCTCTTATGCGGGCGGTGGGGCGTGAAGGCCACTATTTGGAGCCTTTCGCCTTCTACCAACAAGTGTTGGGAAGCTGAAGCACGCCCATGGAAACTCGTTTGGAAGGTGCTCCAATGACAGCCGCGCAATTATGTGACTCCCAGTTATCATAATTTAGGTGCCTGGAAAGTGTTTTGCGTTCTTCTTCTTCTTCTTCTTGAGGCGTCGTTCTCTCACCTGGTCGATGAATTCGGTTGCAAATTCTAGGAACCTCACAGTTCTAGCAACCTTGGTGGTTCCTTTCTCAGCTTCAGACCGCCCAGATGCGCATTACTGGCGCTTCCCTTTAAAACTCACTTCCTGAGTTCCGTTTCGGACTTCAGTCACTTTTTGCGAAAACCACGTTAGTAAATGGTAAATCAACAGGTGGGGGGGACTTTTAGTTTGCCCATCCACTTCGATCGGAAGTGAGAAATGTCAGGATTACCATCGGGCCACCGACATCAAGAGGCAGATCGAAGAGGTCTTGTCGCATGATGAGCACGCACACCTGCATGAGGCAAGGAGAGGGATGGTGGGATGGTCACACCGTGTGCTGCCAAAAAAGCATTAAGAGGGCCCGTGTGCGGTTCGGTCAAAATCTCGAGTATGCTTTCTGCAATTCCCCCTGCCGGTTGCTTTTTAGAAGAGCAGCACTTGGACGCTGCCAGAGAAGAGTGCCGTGCGACTCGGGTGACAGGTTCCGTGCCGCCTCAAAGAGGGTCCCAAAGGGAGGCTTCATGCTTTTGACCATCGGATACCTCTCCTTACGGTTCATACTGCAAATGTCACTGGGACCCAAGCGTTTCCAGGATTTTCAATCACTACATAGCAGGTACATCTCCTTTCCTCTAACCAGCTGGTTTGGGTGTCAAACCACCCATGTCAGGAACAACACCTTATCCGCTCTGGCCAAATCTGTGTACCTGAGCTTCTCCAAATTCCCTGCAACATGCATAGCCCCCCAAAAAAAACCATGCTGGATTTTTTGTTTGATGGGTAGTTCCTTCGGATCCAGGTGGCTGTGGCGAATTCCGCGAAGAAAAAAAAAAAAAACAAACGGAAAACTCCAAAATGGCGCAAGCCCGATCGGAAAGTGGAAACGTGGGTACCAAGCCCTGCGGTTTGCCAGCCCTCCGATCGTTTCATTTTGATTGCCACACCCATGGTCGACCCCATGGATTCCCACTCGAGTCTCGAGCTGCTCGGCTGGTCGGCTGGTCGGAGGTGCCTCTGAAGGCGGACTGGTCCTCGAAGATCCCGCTGTCGGAGGTGGCGCGCCACAACAAGCCGCACGACCTCTGGATCGCCATCAACCAGGTGCTTGGGGTGCTTGGGGTGCTTTGGGGTGCTTTGGGGTGCGTGGGGTGCTTTGGGTGAGTGGGGTGCGTGGGGGGGGGGGGGGCATGGGGAAGCCGGTGGTTGTGGGGGATGGTGGCGGAAGGTGGGGGGGGGATTGGTTTTGGGAGATTGTGGATGGGGGGTGGGGGGGTGTGACACGCCCTAGAGACACCCTGAAACTTTGCCCTTGGAGTGATGGATGTTGCAAACATCCGGGGAAAGCGCTCAGAGAGAGGAAGAGAATGGTAGCCAAACTGGACAAGACCACACTTTCAAGTCCCCAATATATGTGTCAAAACAGGGGTACCCCCTAAAATGGTGACGGCCCTTTTGGTTTTCCTTGAAACCAACCCAGCAAAGGTACCCCCAAAAGGGTACTCTCAAAAACATACACCCAGAATGTTTCAAGGTTGCTTTTGTTCAGGGGTGCAGCTGAGTCTGCATTCTGATATAGGAGGCTTGCAACATGTTCATGCCGCCCTCGCCCGCGCATGGAATGTACCAAACTTGCATTCGACGTAAGGGCAAGCCCTGTTGATTCCATGGTGCGATTCAGAGTTTTGCAGGCGTTCCCGTTTGCGGCAGATACAAGTGCCTCCGGATGGTGTCTCGGTTCACGATGAGTCTGCACAGTTGACAGACTGGGTCCCCCAGTAGTGCCCTTTTGCCCTTTTTTGGGGGAGGGTTCCCCTTCTGAAATAGAAAAGGGTACTCTTATTCTATCCTTTCCACTGGAGGACCTAGTGGATGACCAACAAGTTCTAGCCCTTCTAAGTCAAACATCCTGCCAATGGGAGCCGGGCGTGACAGCTTCAGGCAGCTTTAAACAAGATGCATGGGCTGCTCGCTTTGGTTTTTTTGGTGGCAGGCTTATGTTCCACATTGTTACACGGCACTCAGTGCCCAGTGGTCTCTAGTTTGATCAGGATATGTCGCAGCTGAGACTCGAAAAGTCCTCACGGGTTGGAGACTGCGGGTGAACAAATGCCTGCAACAATTCAAATGGATGACTTACCTCTTAAAAACACAACTTCTCAACTTTTTGGGTAAAATGGGCTATATGTCTGTAAAAGATTAACTTCCCCAGAGCTTGGAGTTTTAAGGGGTAAGATGAAGTCCTACTGGGACAAGCCACAGCATGCTCGTGATCTCCGAACTATCCGAAAGTGGGTTCCGCGTGCAGACTACATCCGGGGATACAGTCAGAATGGTGGCCGCCTGTTTGCGTTTTGGCAGCGGAAAACAGCATCTTTCGATTTTCACTTGTTTGTTTGAAAAGGAGTCTATCACTACTGAACATATTAGTTGTTCCAGGCGGCCTGAGCAAGTTTGATCTGATCAGCCGCAGGTGGTCTACGACCTCACGGAGTTTCTGATCCATCATCCTGAGCAGCGTGGGGGGCTCACCGACCGCTTAGCGAGATGGCCAGGGCATGGATCTGATTCAGCGATCGAGGCAGTTGAGTTGCGGTTGCGGTTTGCCGGGGCTCTCCATGTTCCCCTACTTGCGCAGGTTTGGTCATACGTAGTACACAATGCTTCTTACTTGGATGTTGCCAGGTTAGCAAGTGGGTAGCCAATTGAGAAACTAACCCCCCAACAACAACAAGGTCCCCCAGTAATGGACTCTCTTTAATGTCCCCCCCCCTGAACAGCGGAACCTGTCGGCGGGACTCTCTTTCGTGAAATCCTGGGGGTCTGGGAGGGGCAGTACTTGCTTTAGTATTGCCAATTCTACTTTAGTATTGCCAAGGCTGACTCTCAGCTTCCCAGTACTTGCTTTAGCATTGCCAATTCTACTTTAGTATTGCCAACACTGACTCTCCCCAGTACTTACTTTAGCATTGCCAAGGATCGTTTTTCAGCAACCCCCCAAAACCAGTTGGACACTAAAGAGGACCCCAAAACAGTCGCATTAAAGCGGATCTGGGCCTCTTGTGGGCACCCCCCTGTGTGTGACTGTTTGCCCGCACTTTTTTGTAAAGAAGCTATCTTAAATTTGATGGTCGTGGGACCACTTCAAGAGAAGGATTTCCCAATGTTTGCCAGGATTGGTTTGCCCGTTGTTTTGCCTGACTTGCTTGCCAAGTTGTGTTGCCCATATTTCCCCAGCGTTGTGTCCGGCAAAAAAACTTTCCACGATAGAGGACCCCTAAAACAATCAAACGATTCTGAATTAGAAAAAAAAGTTTGCACAATAGAGAGTACTGTTAATAAAGGAGGTCCAACATTAGTGCCCTTCTAACATTTTTTCGGGGAAGGGTTCCCCTACAAAAAAAACTACAGAAAAATATACACCCTAATTCTAACCTCTCTACTGGAGGACCTAGACAAGGTTAACCGCACTTGAAGGACACATAGGTGGGTTATAACCTCAGCTAGGTCCCTCAGTAGTGCCCTTTTACTTTTTTTTGGGGGAGGGTTTCCCTACTAAAATAGACGACAGAGATAAGTTGGTACCCTTATTCTAAGCACTCTAGTGGAGGACCTAGTTAACCGCACTTGGTGGACTCATACAGTAAGTGGGCTATAACCTAAGTTGCCAACAACTTCCTAAGGTGTGGTGCCGCTGAGAATGCCTTGGCCCAGGCAATTCGATCCTTGCCTGGGCTGGTCGTGACGCGACACCCATGTGGGACAAAATCCCAGGCGGGGTTCTGATCACATTTGCAGCCGCAGATTCACAGCATCTTCTGAAACATGCCATTGGGGATGTGTGTTTACGGGAACCCTATGTTTGGAACCCCAGAAAAAATACAGAAACAAGTTTGTCCCTCAATTTTGGAAGGCATGCAAAACTTATGCAAGACAGGTGGCGGCAAGGCGTTCGGGCCTAGCATGGCAGTTGTATGACGTTTCCTTTCGCTTCCCAGGACGCTTCCCCTCCAAGCAGTGGATGGAATTCTACATGCGCCCAGAGGTGGGTTTGCTGGCACTTGGATGTTTAGTACGTGGTTGGCCAACCCCCCAATAACCAGGCTTTCCCCACTTGGAGGCTCAGTTGTTCAGTGGCACCCTTTTTCTTTTTTTGGTGGCTGCCCCACTAAAAATCAGGGTCACTGAGCAACTGAGGGGGACTTTTAAGCGGGTTATAACCTAGGTTGCCAACAACTTTCTAATTTGGCCGAATGCCCAAGTAGCCATTTTGCGAGATACAGTATGTTGGTGGCCTGTTTTGCACCCGCAGTATGCACCTCTCACATGCTGGGTATGCTAGACAAAAGGAGCTCAGCAAGTAGTAACAATCGCCTTGTGACCGTCAGCGAAGTTGTTGTCAGAGGAACCACACAACTCCCAGCAGGAATGCACTCCCTCAGACTAACATGGAAGCTCCCGTACAGACCCGAAATGGAAGACTTGGTGACCCATTTACAGAGGCCATTTGGGGAGCCATTTGCAGCCCAGCTCTTGGTACCTTCACGTATTTTCTTCAGCATGTGGCCATAGGTCAAAACCATGTACCCCCAGTGAACATCCCAATCCCCACTAAAACAGGTTCTAAAATGGGTGGTGCACCTATCCCAAATTGGTACCATTGCACTTGAACCATGGTCATGCGATGGGTAACTTCTGTTTCTTCAGCGGAGTTTTAAGAACCCGGCACCAGACAGGCGCGCCCAACTTTAAGTACTCCCCCGGAGTTACTGTCTTTGCCAGGGGTCCCTATATTTCCTGTTTGGCCCAAAGGTGAGTGTCTCTCGGTGCGGGTGATGTTCTAAGGGGAAATATAAAGAGCCCTGTTTGCTCAATAGTTTGTTTTCACAAATCCCTTGTGGGTTCTAAAGGGAATCATTTTTTCATTGCTGGGGACATAGTTTCTCTTTTCTTTTTTTCTTTTTTTCAGGGTGCGCCTGTCCGCAAATGGGCACAAGAAAAGTGCATCTCATAGTCATTGCGTATGTTTTTCGGCGGCCGAGCGTGGGCCAGTTGTAGGATGGACGTGTAGTAGGGGATAGGTCATGTCAATGCAAGGATGGCTTTGGTGCATGTTGCTTCGATGTTAGGACTTTACCTTGTTGCCAACTAATGGGTTTTCCATTAAACTACTAAAAGTGTTTTTTGCAGGGGAGCAGAAAGCAGCCGTGATAAGTTTGCTTCTCAGACACGCTTTCAGGCTTCAGTTTGCATTTGAAGACTGTTTGAGGGTTGCTTTCGGAGTCATGACCATGACCCCTATGGGAGCTTAGGGCTTTTTGAGCAGAAGGCGAAGAACACAGCCGCACGTAGCAGGTTCTGTGGCCTGAAATGGTTTGGACCTTACTTGCTCGTGCTCAGCAGGGAATGACCCAGGGTGTTGGGAATGAGCCTCAGCATTCCCGGATTGGAAACCATAGGGATGGTTTATAGGGGCCATTCCCTGCTGAGAGCCAAGCTTACCCTCCCAACAATCATGGAAGCTGACGATCGGAGGGTTGTGGAAGACAACTTTCCTTTTAGGGACCAGGTCCCGCAGCTAGGTGCTCTCCTTAACCCCTTTTTTGGGGGAGGGTTCCCCTACTAAAATAGACTACAGAAAAAGTTGGTACCCTTATTCTACGCTCTCTACTGGAGGGCCTAGCCAAGCCCAAAAGGTCCTCCTTGGTTTTCTCTTGGTTTCCCTTCAACAACAAAAAATAAGGCACCCTTCAACCCCGAATGATGCGTTTTCCTCTTGGTTTCCCTTTACAAACATAGACCCATGATTGGATGGAGGGATTGCCCAAGCCCAAGAGAAATCCGTAGATGGCGCAACGACAGGCCTGCATGGGGGAGGTGGGTGAGGAGCCTGCCCTGGATCCTCAAATCGAGCAGCTCAAGCCCGGCGCCCCAGTTGGCCTAGTCCGACAAGGGTGGATTCCGCTTCAGTTTCGATTCCCCTTTGCGTGGAACCTCACAGGTACTTTCCCTTAAGGCTCCGTTTCTCTGCTGTGTTCCATGTCAAGGTGCTAGGGTTTCCATCATTGAAAGCCGTGGTGGTGAAAGTAGATGGCACAACTGCCTGAAATTGTGGGTCAGCAAAGGGGAGAACTGAGCTTAAATTTGGGGAGTTGGCCCATGTACCTTCAATGTGTTGGAATTGTTCTGGAAGGAATTTAAACCAAGATGAAACGAGATTCCCCGACTTGTTTGCACATTGAGCGCCCGGTCGTGTATGTTAATTCCTTTTGCGAACCCACATGAGAGGCTTGGAGAACGCCCAGCTGTAAAGGTAGCCATCGAGCGAACAGAGAACCCCACACCCTAAAAATCGGATTTGTTTTTTTGGCGTGAGCATGGAATTCCATTTCTGGTTTCATTTTCCCTTTTATGGCGAAGACAAGAGAAATGGAATTGGGGACCCCCCACCCACCCCCCTCCCCCTTAAGGGAGGGGGGAGGAAGCGACTCGTGACAATGGCAATGGGAGCCGCGTGACAAAGGGAGGATCCGCAGGACTGATATATACCTTGGTGGTTTCCAGCCATCCCCTTAGCCTTTTAGCCTTTTAGTGTTTAGTGGTTGGATTTCCGAAAATTAGTCACTTTTAGCAGGGGAATCTGAACACGGACAGCCCAGATTCGTGAATCGGTCATGAAACCACAAAGTGACTGGGTCTGTGTTTGTTTCATGAGTCTGCAAACCAAAATGTTTGAAAGCAGTTCTTCGGGGGACATTCCCTAGGTACCCCAGCTAGGTGCCCTTCTTAACCCCTTTTTTGGGGGAGGGTTTCCCTACTGAAATAGACTACAGAAAAAAGTTGGTACCCGTATTCTAACCTGTCTACTGGAAGACCTAGCCTTGGAAGCCCTGGTTTGTTTCATGAGTCTGACTACCAAAATGTTCGAAAGCAGTTCTTCGGGGGACATGCCGACGTCCTTTTCGGGGTCCTTCGCAAAGCAGACAGAAGGAACTCTGTTCACTTCTCGGCTGGTCGTTTTCAAGAAACCGGCAAACAGAAATCAAGGGAAAACCTGCATTGGAGCAGGTCGGTTTGTAGGAAAAGGAAAGCCATCCGCGGCCAAGGCAAACCTTCCTTTGGGTTTCAAATATTAGACTAGGTCCCCCAGTAGTGCCCTTTCTCACCCTTTTTTGGTTGGGAGGGTTCCCCTACTAAAATAGACCAAGTACCCTTCTTCCAACCTCTCTCAACTGGAGGAGCTAGGTTGTGTCTCCAACAGAGGAAACACGGAGCCCTAAGCAGGTGTTCACTTGCCGCCAACCAAAACGGGGGAATCGAACCGCCCAAAACGAGGCAAACCTCCCTTTGGGTACCCTTCAACAAAAAAAAAAAGAAGGTACCCCTCTACCCCAAATGATGCGTTTTCCTCTAGGTTCCCTTCAAACACATACTGTGGATGGACGAAATCCATTTCGCACCACCGCTCAGAAACCGTGGAATGATTCGATTCCCCTGTAAATACCCACAAACAATGGCTTCCCATAGTTTCCCCTTAGAATGATTTTTAAGTTTCCCACACTAGAATGGGAAACTTGTTAGGGAAGTTAGAAACATGTTTGTGGTTTGAGTCCATTCCCAAGTTTCCCAAGTTTCTAAGTGTGTACGAATGATGACTCCCCTGTTTCCAAGTGGTTCGAAATGGATTTCGCAACCATCCATCGCAGTACTGGAGGACCTGTCAATTCGAGCGTCTTCCGAGCGCCCAGGAAGCTGCATGATGAGCTCCGACGCCTGGAGGGACCGTCCAAGGCGCGAGCTCACGTGCTGGGGTCCTTAAAGGGGCGATCGGTCGAGCATGTCAGGTAACTTGGTGGCGAAGCCAGCCATCCGGATCCTTAGCCTTGTTTGGCTTTTTGTTGGTGAATTTCACCCACTGAAAGTTAAACTTTTAGCGGGGCAGATAGTAATCATGGTCACAACCCACAAAAGCCATGGTTACAAGTCTCCGTTCAGTGGGTTATAGCCAGGCTAACCACTTACTAGGTGCCCTGCCCCTTTAAGTACCGTTGGTGGATTGGCTTCACCACAGTCGATTACTCACAGTTTCTCACCACAGTCAATCAGTTGTTTCAACTTTTCGCTGGTTGCGACATCTTTTGGTTTCGCGATGTTGAAAAGAGTTTCTTTAGGTTCTCACTTCCTGAGTTCATGAACTTTAGACTTTTTGGGAAGACCATTCTAGTGGAAAACATAAAGTTTGGACTTTTTTGGGCCATCCACTCAGCCAGTGAGAGGTTCATGTGCCTTGCCCTAGCTTTCGCGAAGGAAGACATCGCGGCGGTGAAGACTGCGGTGAACGTGCCTGGGAAGACCGATGTGCCCACCCTCTCTGAGGAGGCGATCTCTCAACTGCTTGTCCAAGCATAAGGCCTGTTCAGCATAGACAATTTGAACATGGTTTCTTCCCCAGAATTAGCTCCTCTTTTTGATTTCTTGCTTTTTTGGGGTCCATTTTGTTTTCCACTAACCAGGCAAAACATATAGTTTGTGTGCTGGGGTCCCAATTCCAGCCAAGGTTTGTGGCGTGCTTTTTGAAACTACTGTGTTTTTTTTTGGAGTGCCTTAGTTCGGCCTCCAACAAAGGGACTGCTTCCTTTTTCTGCTAATGTCGCTGGTTGCAACGGGGCTGAATCTACAAGCCTTGTAGTGCCGCATCCAAAAAAGGGATTGCTTTCTGCTTTTTCTGCTACTGTCACTGGTTGCAACCAGGCCAAATCTACGGCACCAATTCCAAGAATACGCGGCACCAAGTTTTGCCAGGGTTCCAAACTAAGGGTCGTCTGGCAACTTGACGTGGCGGTTGTGGAGATTCGGAAGGCTTTCCATGGAACATATGTTATGTACACTTCTCCGCGGCAAGATTGTCAGGAGACCGACGCTTTGGTATCACAGCAAGTGTTGTGTTGCACAACTTTGTCACCTAACAATTTAGTTTGCAACTCACTTGCCCAAAGCCGACCTTTTGACCTTTTGGTTTTCCCATGTTGGTCCATTTTTAGTAAAGGTCCCAAAAGGTGATCACCTTTTATTTCCAGGTCTTTTGGGCAAGTGAGTCAATCCTGTGCGCTTTTCGGCGTCACCTTTAATCTGCAGCTTCTTGCAGTGCCTCTACTGAACTGGGTCCCAACCAGCAATTGGTGCCCGCTCTTTTGCCCCTTTTTTTGGTCGGGAGGTTCGGTTCCCCTACTAAGATAGCCGACGGAAAAAAGTTGGTACCCTTATTCTAACCTCTCAAATCTGGAGGACCTAGTGAAGTAGGGTTAGGTTGAGAAAGTATGCTTTCAAAAGTGGCCAATCATCAATACTGAGTTCATTTGTCGATGCTCTCACACTTTGTTTCCTTTCGACATTCTGACTTTTGAGTATGAGTCATTGTGAGTGTCCAGAAATCCGTTGGCATGGTAGGGTTCTTCTTATTCCCCGTTGATAATCAACCGAACATGGATCCCGAATTATGAGGAATATGGGCAATGGTTGAAGGACCCCCTTACTCGGGGTTGGTAGGGTTTTTGCGCACAGGGAACCGTGGCCATTGCCAACGGAAGAAGTTTTGACCACGGCACCTAGGTCCCCGAGTGGGGGCCTTTTTACCCTTTTTTGGGAGAGGGTTCCCCTACTAAAATAGATTACAGGAAAAAGTTGGTACCCTTGTTCCAACCTCTCTACTAGAGGACATAGGCACATATTGCGAGCAACAGATCAACAGCGTCAGGTGAACGCACAGGATGAAGAGCATTTGCAGATGCATAGGGATGGTGGTTGGTGAATGAGAAGTAACCATGTATGGCCAGGTGGGGTTTTGTGTTGTTTCTACTTGGTGGGAATGTGTCGCTTTTGGGGCTGCAAAGAGCACAATTTCTATGGAGGGACGATGTACCCTTTGTCCCTTTTTGTTGTTTGGTGGGTGCACTGAAAAACGGTTCCCCTTTGCCGCCAGCTCGGATTTTCCTGCAAATCACCCACACACGTCCAGCCGAACTGACTAATTGCGTGATGCTTCACAATCTCCACACGCAGACGTGGTTTTCTTTGCCAAGAAAACAGCTAGGCCGTTGAAACATGCCGTACTCAAGCTGTGCACGTCTCAGTGACTCGACTTGGAGCCTTCAGAAAGGTGATAAAACCAAATTCTACGAGGCATGTTGTTTGGCAGGTCTTCAGGTTGTTCGGCTCTGTGCTTCTTTTTTTTTGGCACGAGGCTGAAAAAAAACCATGGTGTTTTGCTACCATACCAAGGGTCGGTTACCCCTTAGTTGGTGGTTTGGATCGGTTTGGGAATTCGAATCCCAGCTCCTTTTGAAGCCAAACCAAACCGCCAAATAGAAGGAAGCTGAAAGGGCGGACCAGCTTGTTCATTAAACCTCCACTTGCTTAACAAGGAAAAAACAAGAAAAGACGGTTTTAAAGAAGGAATCGAGCTTCACTACTGGACATATATGTTCTTTTCGTTTTTTTCCCAGGTGGCGCAAAACAAAAACTCGCCATGGGAAGTAAACCAAAACCACGGTCGCCAGGCGCGCTTTCCAAAGCTGGCCGAGATCTCCGCCGGCAAGGCGTCGCATGCGTCGAATCGACTCGCGGCGCGCGCCTCGCGAGTCGAAGTGGCCATGGGAACTTCAGGTGGAAATGCGGTGGAGGCGAGGGGTTCTAATTTTCCGGCGGGAATGGGAGTATATGGAATGGAGGGGCTCGGAAGGATGCCGAAAATACAACATACTGTGGATGGTGGAAATCGACATCCACAAACCGCACCACGAAGTGAAACCATGGTTGAAACCATAACGTTTGTTTCTTGGTTACAGGGGAATCGAACCATTCCAGGGTTTCTTAGGTGGTGCAGGATTTCGCAACCATCCACAGTATCATCTTTGTGGTCTTCCAAGTAGTGACATAGGGCTTTAAGTTTGCCTGGGTTCAGTTGGCCATGGCTCAAAAACTGTGCCTATGTAGTTGAATTGCATGTCGTCATATAGTTTCTAATTAGGGACCCGAACTGGTGGACATCAAATTTAGGTGCTGGTTTTATGTCCACCAACCACCAAGTTTTGTATGTGTGAACGAGGTCCACGGCTTTTCGTATAACTGCACCCAAAGGCAACTTTGCCCATTTAGTGGTTGTCTTGACTTCTCATGTCTCTGGTTTTCCAACCAGTCATCCCATGTAAAAAACGGACCCCTTTTGATCAACCATATGTTAGCCTTTGGGTGTGGCATTGCTTGCAGGGAGAACACCTTTTTGGTTGGTTTATGACAAAAGGAGTTCGGACGATGCGGCCTTTGGGCGATTCACAAATACAACCCACTGTATTTGTTCAAAGCAGAGTAGAAGTCATTCGCAACCCATGAGTATGTGTCAAAGCATACCACCCCCCCAAATGCCGGTTTTCCTTACGATATCCCTGTAAACTAAGGTAAACATAGTACCCTAAAATACACAAGCACGCACACACACACACACACACAACCCACGCACGCCCGCCCGCCCGCCCGCCCGCCCGCCCGCACGCCCGCAAACAAGCACACAAGCACACAAGCACACAAACAAATGGGGCAGGTCAGCAGCAAGCTCTCATAGGCACCATGCCAGTTGTTGTTTACTCAAATTGGTTCTCAAGACTTTGACACGATCCTATGGTTCCCTGTTTTGCTTGAGAAGCCTTCCTTTTCATGGCCAAATTCCGGGAATCCGCTCGTTGCTTTTTGGCTTGGGGAGCCTGAAGTTGCTCTTTGTGGCGGCTTCCCACTCCAAAGGGTCCATTTCCAAGTCAAGTCGGAGCATGCGACACGTTCCTCCCAGCTGTGGTCCGAGCTTCAGAGGTTCCGAAAAGGCTGTGGCCACTACTTAAAGGGGCGATCGGGTACTTAGTAAGTGATTAGTAATCATGGTTATAACCCACTGAACGGAGACTTATAACCATGGTAAGGGGGGTGTAACCATGGTTTTCAACCACTTACTAAGTACCTGCCCCTTTAAGTATTTGGAGGATATTCAACACTTTTTTATCCTGAAGTCGGATTGCAGTCAAGTAAGAGCAGTGGTGGACTTGTCCGATTCGTGAAACAAAGTTGTTCTTTTGTCGAGTTTTAAAAGGAAGCGATTTCTCTATTGGAGATATGTTCCCATTTTTCCAGTGGGCGCAAATGCGAACAGAAGATTCCCAACTCCTTGTTGTGAGCAATGTACGGACTCCAAGCTGGTCAAGCAAACGGGTTCGAAAGGCAGGCCGATGGTTGCTCTGGGCCTTATCCTGTAGTTTCCCTCTACCATGCTCAACTTCCTACCCTTCCGATCGGTCGCATGGGATAAACCCTTGATTTGCGGTTGGCTAAGAACCCTCCATGGGTTCTCCGGCTTCCGACTTCGGCCAAAACATGGCGCTGGGAACCCGCCGCGGTGAGCCCCGCGGTTTTTTTTGTGTTTTTTCTTCGCAGGAGCTGCCCTTCTTCTCGCGGGCGGAGGTGGCCAAGCACACCTCGGAGGACCGAAGTCGATAGGGAATGAGAAATGGTTAACGTGCCCGTTTTCTTAAGACCGAATTGGGTTACGGATCTTTAGACTTTTTAACTTTTTGCTGGAGATCAAGTGGGGTTTTCCACTAAACCCCTCAACAAAGTTATTCACTGTTTGCAGGGGTCAACAGCAACCAAGTTTTGGGATTCCCGAATCAAGGAAACCCGAGGGGATGGTTTATAGGAACCATGGAAGATAGTTTATCTCCGGGTCATTTCATTTCTCATTCTCTACTTATCGCACCAGCAAGTAGAGTCTTGGTTTGGTTGGGCAAAAGCGGATGTAGCGGCCAAGCATGCCAAGGAGGGGGAAGATCCACATCGTGAGAAAATGCTAAAATTATTAGAAGGAGAAGGGTCCCTGTGTACTGTAAGGGGCCTTGTTTAGAGAAGGGAAGAGTAACCCAAACAGTCATTTGCTTCTTGCATTGCTTCTCACATTCTGGGTCCCAGGATCCAGTTGGGAGAACGAACAACAAAGGAAGCTTGTGTTGGGGGCCCGTGTCTTGGAATATGCGGAAGGTGCCCAAAGACAAGGGACCCCTTTTAGCTTGGCTGTGGTTCGAAATCACCTCAAACTGAGTGTTGCTTCACTGACCAGCAAAGGAAGTGTTACGTCTTGTAGAGGCGTCAAAAGCGCCCTTGACATATCTGGTCTCATGTTTCCCTTGTTCAAGCTCCCCAAAACTGGGTTCGCCAGTTTCGAATGCGCCCATGTCCAACCATTCTGGGCAAAGAAGGTTCCTACTCTTCTGGGAGGACCCTTCTTTTTCCAACAAAACTCGGTCAAGAAGTTGAACCCGGCCTTGAACGGATTCACCTTCCGTCCAGGGTGATGGAGGTCTTGTGCTGAACGTTCCTGATCCTGTCTACGGCGTATGAGGGTAGCCTGTTTGGATCTCACTTCCTGAGGTTCTGCACTTTAACACTTTTTGGGAAGACCATTCTTCCCCAGAATTAGCTCCCTTTTGCTTTTTTGCTTATTTGGGGTTCTCTTTGTTTTCCACTAACCAGGCAAAAAAGATATTATTTTGCTGGGGTTCTAATTCCAGCCTAGCATTGTGGTGTTAAATAGTATGAGTTGTGTTGGCCAGTCCACTCAAAGGGAAGGATTGACTTTGAAGGGGCATCAAAGGGACACCATTCATTTTAGGGCTTCTATCTATTTTTCGGAAGCTACATTTCTTTCGAAACAAACCGCACATGAGGAACTTGGCAAAACACGCCTCTTTGAACTGGTTGTTTCTATGTTAGTCTTATTAAACTTACGTTTGCTGGAGCCTCCAGATGTCAGATGTCGCATACCAATACCAGAACTGGGATTCACCTGGTGACTGAAACATGTGCATGCGTGTCGACCAAAGGGTCGGTCTTCGCGATGGCACTGCAAGTGCAAAATCGGCAAACGTCGGCTCGTGACGCTACAATAAGTTAATGCGCTACCAGGTTAAATTTCTGCTTTTATGGCTGTGTTTGTGAATACTGTGGGGCCCTGCAAGTGGGTATACGCGGGGGGCGGGGGATTACTATTCCGGGAAAGGCCCCCAGTTTTGTCCATGGGAAACTTTGCCCATGTGGGAAAGATCATCGTGTAGTGGTTTCACCCAATGGTCATCCCATGTAAAGGAACCCATATGAGTTCGGTCAACATGACCGGTAGTCTATGTTCATTTTTGTACAGACATGAGGGACTCACTCAGTTGCCCATTGGCAGAAACAGACACCCGGGGACTCACTAAGTCTTGTGCAAGTGTTGACAGTGGCTCATATAGTTGACCTTAGTTGACAAATTTCTATGCAAACCATCCCCCATCTCGATTTTGACGCATTCCCCGCGGTCAGCCTAGCTTGATCATGTTGTCACGCACATCCACACAAATCAACGTCTGGAGTACTGCCTTGCCAGCTATCCCTTCTGGGCTTGGATCATAATGACATCCCACCAGACGCTAAACGCGAACGAGGGGCAACCCAAGTTCTCTCCAAAAACGAAACAATTTAGCAATTGATCATTTGAGAGTAGTTCAGGTCAGGTGTTCAACGCATTGTCAGTTGGCTGCGGGTCAAACAAGGGTACCCAAAAGGAACCCTGGTAAATGGAACCAATGACTAAAACCTGCAGTCCCCTGGTGGTTTAATTTTGACCAATATCCCAAAACATATGTTCGTCGTGTATCTCAATACCACAAAAGCAACCAACAGCACCGCTTTTTCTTTTTTCCATTGGCATCCCACGGCAGAATCTTCCTTAAGAAAGACCACTCCAGTTGTTTCCACCGGCTGTGCACTTCTGAATGATGGATTTCACCCGAGCAAAAAGGATGGATTTCACCCGACCAAAACCAGGAGCCCTACATGATCATCCACAACCGCGTCTACAACTTGAGCCTAGCCTGGGAGCGAGCATATTTGTTGTTCATGTGCCCCAGTGGTGTGCGCTTACCCTAGGATGTGCCCTTTAACGCTTTGGGGGAGGGTTCCCTACTAAAATAGACTACAGAAGACAGGGTATCCTTATTCTAACCTCTCTCTGGAGGGCCTAGTTGTTGCCTGTAGAGACGGGTACCACACATCAACTCATTGGGTGGGGGGGGGGGGGCCGGCAACGTTTTCTACGGTGCTTGTGTATGCTTCCGATTTTGAGACTTCAGGCAATTTGGAAGGTGCATATCTTAAACAAGTTGTGTACAACTGCACAGTGACCATTGGCGAAGACGTTCCATGCGACCATGTATTTATGTTGAAAAGATTCAGTGTCGTGTTCCATGGAGAAGTCAATACCCTTCATGTGTTTAGGTGCAGTTCCGCGCTCACTTGTTTGTATGCCTGCAAATTGTGCTTGGACAACCACTTGACATGAGGTTGCTGTCCTGTCCTGTGATGGAAGCTTACCTTGCCAGGACCTGGTTGGCTTGACCACTAGTTGGCATTCCTTGGCAGAGTTTGATGGAGACTCGAGTTGATTTACGGGATCCTTCAGGGATCAAGCCAATGCGCGTAATGCGTATGTATATATATATATAACAACCTTGACAGATGATGACAACAAGCATGACAATAATACTGAACATTAAGATGCTAATAGTGACAATAATGACAATGACACCCTGAATGCATTGCAAGTGTCATGCACTCACAAAATACACCCTGGCTTGGACTCTTGTCAAACGTCCCCCTCCGTCCGCCGGTCTTGTTAACGCGAGCGAGCGCAGACCTGGATGTGTTTGAATCGGATTCTTCCATTTGCTTAGTAGAATATGTTGCTATTTTCCCCTGGTGGCCTCAAGAAAATCTATCACTACTGGATGCAAAAACATAATAATAAAATATGTATATATTTGTTTATTTAATTTTATTTGTTTATTTATTTTTATTATTATTATTGTTATTTAAAAAAAAAAGGAAAACAAACAGGGACCGTCTCCGCAAATTTTGCGTGTTACGCCAGCGAAGAGACGGATGCGTTCTTTTTCCACTGGGCCGAGGAAGCCGTTGCTGGGAAGTCACCCGGGCGGGGACGACATCTTGCTGTCCAAGGCCGGCACGGACTGCACCAAGGCGATCGGCTCGAAGCCGCGGGGCTCGGGAGTCGGAGTCGGAGTCGTCCTCATTTCCTGCTGGGTTGGATCTGACTTTAACTTTCTGGATTCATGTTTCAAAAAGTTGAAAACGTTTTTGGATCTTTAGCTTTTTCCTCATTTCCTCTTTAACTTGTTGGATCTTAAACCTTCAACCAGCAAAAAGTTGAACACGTTTTAGCTGGAAAATCTACAGCACGCATGTCGCAGGGCTCGCTTTGTTTTTCTGGTCGGTCCTTGGTCTGAAGATGTTGGGGTGTTTGTTTAGGGTTCCCTCTTGGAGCAAAAGGTGTAATTAAAGGGGAACCAAAAGCAGAACCTTCACTTCCAGAGTTTGGTGTGTGGATTGTGTGGCCGTGTGTCTTTTTGGCAGGTTCCCTTTTAAGGTTGGATGCATTTTCTTCATTACCTCTGGTCCCCGTTTGGCACATACACATTTTTCACTGAGGTCTCCAAAATTGGCATATGTGTTTAGGGTCGACATATTGTGATGGACGAAATCCATTTCGCACCACCGTTCGGAACGCCCGATTCCCCTGTAACATACCAAGAAACGTTACGGTTTCACACATGGTTTCTGTTGGTGCGATCGGTTTTCGCAACCATCCGCAGTATGCATCTGAAAGTACAACTTTTCGGTGTGCACTAGGATTGGACCCAGAATCGGAAACACCTCATCCGCCAGAAAGCGTGAACAAACAAGGAACAGGCGGAGTCCGCTGTCGGGTGTGTTGTAAGGAGAGCTGGGTTGGGTTTTTACCAGAGGTTTTTCTGGCTTCTGTTCGGAGGAAAACTGGGTTTCTTTGGTTCTACGTAGTTTCTTTGATCTTGGTTTTGCTTCATAGGTTTCACTCGAATTGAGTCAGTTTGGTTCTAGTCTACCACTGGAAGCCGCTGATTTTGGCCAAATCCCTGCATTATGATGGCGTGCTCGCCGGATTTTCAGACGAAAGGTCGTGACCGGATACTCGGTTTTGATTGAGTGGAAGCCGCTGGGTGAAGTGCTGAGATCCAATGAGAAGGCTTGAGAAGGGCTGAAGTATGGAACAATGCATCTTGGCGCGTCAATTTTTGCGCGCTAAATAAAACAAGCCTTTGGTGCATCTTGCCAAGGGATGTTAGGAGTTTAACTTTTGGCCAACTAATGGGTTTTCCATTAAACCACTAAAAGTTAAACTTTTAGCAGGGGAGCAGAAAGCAACCGAGAAGCACAAGCCAACAACACGCTGATATATGATTACTTCGCTTGCTCCTCATGTCGCGATTATATTTTTGGAAGTTTTAAAATCAAGGTGCCTTCATGTGCCTTCCTACCACCCAACATAGAGCCTGACTGGGGGTCCATGAAAGTCCATTTTCCTCCTGAATGGACCTTATGCTGGGTTCTATGTTCCTCATTTATTGAAAGGTTTGTGAATCAGGAGTCATCATGGGTATTCAGCGTTCCCAAGGTTTCCCTCTGGAAAAGTCAAGGGTCTCTGTAGGGTCGGGCAGACATATGTTCAAAGGTAAGATTTACCCTGTTTGCAACAACCATGGAAGTAAGGAAGGGTTTTGGAAGACTATAGTCCTCTTGGAAAGGCCTCTCCACTTCCATGATTGGAAAGAGGGTGTCCAAGCAAAGAGGATTGAACTAGTTGAGCCGCAAACAAAAATCTGAATCGATGAAGGTTGGAGGGACAGTCCCAAGCGGTAGCATCATGCGTTTTGGGTAATTATACCCCTTTGACACCTCTCCCAATGAGTTTCCCAGAGGCAGTGAGAGCAGCGTGCGTCAGGCAAGGCCAATCATGCCGTCAGACTTCAGGATTTGAGACAACCATTGTCAGGGTATTGTCGGGGTACCGCAGCAACCCATAAATACGAACTTGCGACCATGTTGGAAAGAGGCGGTGATCCGACTTGCTCCACAACCAGAAAAGTTCAAAGGTTCATGACGGATGCCAACTCAATATTCTCAGTTGCTCAAAGCGAATCGACCTTTTGACCTTTTGGTTTTCCCGTGTTGGTCCATTTGTAGTCATGGCCTCAGAAGGTTAACCTTTTATGTTCAGGGTCAAAGGTTCGTGTATACGGGAACCAACTTAGTATTGCAAGGGAACAAAGGAAACCCTGAATTGATCGACCATGGTTTACTCGCAATATGGCAGGAGCATCCACCTTGCAGCAAGGATGGACACATAGGTCACGGTTGAACACAGAGAGTTTATCCAACTGCCCACTGGTGCCGATCGGCATTGATTCCTGAGTTTCTGGAATTCAAGCTGTTTGGGTTTAGACCATGTTATAATTAGCGGACTTTTTTTTGTGCTAATCCACTCGGGAAGTGAGAACATGTTCTGTTTCTTCTTTCAGGCGCCTATCCGCAAATGGAAGTCAGGGGTCCTCCGTCGCTCGCAACCGCTGGCTCGAGGACTTCGAGGTGTTTGAGCACTCGGAGAAGGCCGGCCGCGCCAAGCCTTTGAGTGACCTCCGCTTTGCGCGGATTTTTTTGCGCGAAGCGTCCGGTTCGAAGTTCGAGGGAAGGTCTTGCGTGGTTGTTAGTTGGTTTTAGGCGTTGGGTGTCTACTAGCTTCCCCCAGTGCCCTTTCTCACCCTTTTTTGGGGACTACAGAAAGAATTGGGTACCCTTATTCTAACCTCTCCACTGGAGGACCTGGGAAGGTTTTGAGTGGTTTTTAGTTGGTTTTCGGTGTTGGGTATCTATTTAGCCCACCAAAAGTGATGAACCTTTGGCGGATCTGGAAACGCACAGCCCAGTTTCGGTTCCGTTTGCCGCAGTGGAACCAGTGCCAGATTGGCACTTGCACCGAGTCGATTCCCTCTTCAAGCAGGTAGCAGGTCTTTTGTGTTGGTTCTTTCTTTCAAGGTATACCAAACCCAGATCCATTTACCTGTATAGTAGGAAACCAAGGGCACAACCCTCTAGTCACTTTATGGCCGAAACACCTGGAACCTGGGAAGGGCGACTGCAGTTCATCTTTTATCTTGCTGCGAAATCGGCATGAGCTGGACAGACACGGAGAAAGACCATCCAACTGGTGGTTTCCTTTATTCAAGAACCCCTTGATTCATTCCATTTCATTCCCTACGTGTCGCACCAGCAAGTAGTAGCCACTAAAGGGGTTTAAAAAAGAAAAAAAGAAGAACACAAAAACATGTTCATACTGTGACAATATTTGGGGGTACAGAGAACCATCTTAGAAGCAGTGGCGCCTTAAGGGAATGTTTTCAGTGGCTTTCCCAAAGCCAATTTTGCGGGAGCAATACAGACCTGAGGCTCGGGTGCAGCGCGACAGGGATTTGCTGATCGGCCATGTGGTGCCAGCGGAGCGCCTTGACGCAACTCACGTCTAGGACGTGGAGATGTTTCGGTGTTTCTGTGCTTTTTGGAATCTCACTTCCTGAGTTTTGGACTTTAGCCACTTTTTGGGTTTGGACCATGTTTGTGGTGAAGCCAAAGGATAGACTTGTTTTGGGCCACCCACTCAGGAAGTGAGGAATAGGGAAATGTTTATTTAGACTTAACATCAATCCAAGAGTATCTTGGTGGCTCCCAGCCATCCCCTTAGCCTTTTAGCTTTTGAGTATTTAGTGGGGATTTCCATTTACCCACTAACAGTTAAACTTTTAGGGGATCTGAACACGGACAGCCCAGGTATGTTTGTTTAATTTAACACACAGGTGCCTTTTTGCAAGGCCACTGGTCTGGGCTGGTTCTCAAGGGCAGGGAATGAACCGGGGTCATGAAGGCCAAGCTGAATGAAGCTGAATGTATGGCAAGCTTACCGACAAGAACATCTGTAGGCCCCAAAAAAGTCAGGCTTTGCTTTTGCCGCTGGAAAGAATCCGTGGCAACGGTATGTTGAACGACATATTGCACGTGAAGCAGACACATCCAAGCACAAAGCCTAGATCAATTGAGGTACTCTACGCAGAGCTTCTCTACAGGGCATCCCTTGTTTTCCCTATGTCCTATGTGCTATATGTGCTTGTGTGTCCTTGAAGGGTACCATGTTGCAGGACAACCACAACTTGTGGGTTCCCTGGTTCGACACATACGCACCTTCAGAACATCCACGGTAACAGCAGAGGATGCATAATTGCTCTTGTTGTTCTCTTATGATGATGACTTAATTTGTTTTTAACACCCCAATATCATTGTTATTGCTATCTTCATTTGATTTTTGGTTTGGATTGGTTTGTAGGATGCTTTTCCACTTCTCAAGAGTCAGGGTTTTAATGTCCAACCTCCAATCCAAACCACCATTTGGGGGGCTCCCTGATTTCCATTTGCTTAAGAATATGTTTTCTTTTCTCCTGTTGGTTTTAAAGGGATTTATCACTACCAGAAATAATTGTACTTTTTCAAGGGGGCTTAAGCAAATGGCGGAATTTCCTCGCAAGTCCTTAACCACGTCTTTGGTTCGTTTCCTGTCGCCTAGGCAAACAGACTGGGCCGCGGAGACCAACGTGTCCCAGGTGGTCGGCGAAGAATCCTCTGAGCTGGGGAGGTACATCAAGTACAAGGCGCCCGACTGAATTCCACCAGGGGGGTTTGAGGTGGGGGGGGAGTTGGTTTGGTTGGGGGGGTTGGGTTGGGAAGGTTGGTTGGGTTGGTGGTGATGGGAACCCAGGATTTGACATGTTTTACTTAAATCTGGGGTGGACATCAGTACTCAAAGGGGCGATTGGGTACCTAGCAAGTGGTCTGGAAGCCTGGTAATCCACTGAACGGATACTTATTACCATGGCTCTTGTGGGATATATTCATGGGTTTTGCCCATTTCTAAGCACCCTCCTTTTTACTTACCAAGAGAAGAAATCGGATGATGGCCCTTCATATCAATTAGATCAACGAGAACTGTTTTATACTGTGTGTGTGTGTGTGCATGTCTGTTGTAAAGGCTAACCGAAGGGTGTGCTGGATGCAGCCTCAACAAACATGACGGGGGTGTCCTACGTAGTTTGAAGGGAGAACTTCAATTTCTGGACACAAGCCTCACCCCCCGAATGGTTGTCAAATGACCTCTAAAATTGCCCCTACCAAAGGTCACTTTGATGTTATTTGCTAATGTTGACCCCATATTCACAAACCTCCAGTTTATTTGTAAGTGGTGGGGGGTGTTCCCCTCCAAGAGTGGTCTGAATCCAAACACATTTCAAGCAGTGACAGTTTGATAGCCGTAAGATACCCCTGGAGAAGGGCGGACCTCAAAAATGAAGTCATTTTGGTGTCCCTTCAAACCAACCGCAGAACACAGGTCACCGACGCTGCTGCCATTGCGGCCTGCTGGTACGTCTACAAGTGCCTTGGCTTCGGTGCCCTTCTTTTGGTTCCCATGGGACCCGCAACCCCTGCATTCCCTTCAAACTGACATACATATATGCTAACACCCCCCCCCAAAAAAAAAAAAAAACACGCCTTTTGGCCTGTGCAGGCATACATATATATGTATATATGTACTGTGTTGGGTATTGCAAGGGTGTATTCAGGTACTTTCAAGGGCGTTTGAAAGTGTTGTTCAAAGTGAAAGTGGCATGGCCACGTGATCTCCCTTGAGCTTTGGGTGAGTTGGTTCCAACTCAGAAGATTGGGACATGCTTTGCTCGTCTCTTGTGCATGACCCCTTCCGGTGGGAATGAAGGAATGGATTCCCTTGAAGGAAACCATAAAAACCGAGATATAGATATATATATATATATATACTCAGTTGTTCAGTGGCACCCAGTTTCCCTGTTTTCTGGTTGCTGCCCCAGGGTCACTGAACAACTGAGTATATAGATAGATATAGTGGTCATTCCGTGTCTGATTGCTTTCCTATCGAACCAGCAAGTTGAGTCAAACGGCTATGGCTTCAGTTCGAAGCCCGAACTCCGAGACATGTTTTGATCGATGCACGACGGGTTTTGTCAGACCGGTCCCAGCTTTGTCAGCTTTTTGTTTGGGGGTCGATCGGCACGGCGGTGAGGGGTGTTGGTTGTTGCGCTCGATCTTGAAGTTCTGAAGCAAATGCCAAGCGCTCGGTTCAAGAAGAGCTTCTAGGTCCCCCAGTGGTGCCCTGCTACTTTTTTGGGGGAGGGTTAAGGGTTCCCCTACTAAAATAGACAACAGAGAAAAAGGGTACCTTTATTCTAACCAACAGAAAAAAAGGGTACCTTTATTCTAACCTCTCTACTGGAGGACCTAGGCTTAACAGTCTGCTGTGACCATGCAGAGGATAGGGTTTCCGAATATCCTTAATTACCCAGAACCTTCCTTGCTCTTGGATATGATTGATTTACCCTTGTCGGTTTTACAGGTGATCTATCACTACTGGTTTTCTCATTTTTCAAGTGGGCGCAAACGCAAATGGGAGTAACCTACTTGCCTTGGCCGGACATCCAAGTATCTAAGGCTGAACGTATACGCTATGTATGGACCCCTGGTATGCACCCCCTGCTTTGTAGCTGAAAAATCCCTCTAGATATGGCTTGACTACGGGAAGAAAAGGCTTTCAAAAGATCCAACATGGCCATGAACACAGGGACCATATGGACCTATACACTTCCCCAGAATTAGCTCCGCTTTTTGATTGCTTTTTTTTTTGGGGGGGGGGGGTCCCTCTTGTTTTCCACTAGCCAGGCAATCAATATAGGTTTGTTGCTGGGGCCCACTTGGTGGCTCCCAGCCATCCCCTTAGCCTTCTATCTTTTTAATGTTTAGGGATTTCCAAATTGAACCCACTAAAAGTTAGTCACTTTTAGCGGGGGATCCGAGAACAGCCAAGCCCAGTCAAGTACAATGCGGCTTTGAAAGTAAGAAGAGCCTTTGGGCAGAGCATCCGCCAAGGGGCTGGGATTGGCAATTGGGATGTTCACTGGGGGGTAGCCGGGCTTTTGAGCCATGGCCATATGGACGTCTACCATGGGCATTGGTCATTGGCATCCGAGGACCCTGCAGAACACCAAGCCGCTGTCCCAGTTCACGCGCCTGGGCGTTTTTGAGCCTTCGGACGGGTTTCGAGCCGGTCCCAACCGGCTAGGTGCCCTTCTTAACCCCATTTTGGTTGGGAGGAAATTATCAAGATGATAGGGTCTTGGGACCCTAGGTGACCCTAGGGTGGATTTCCACGAGCCCTTCTGAACCCCTTTTTCGGGTTGGGAGAGGGCGGTTTATCTTCTGACCCTTGAAGAAGGAACCGGATATATGTTTGGGAGTAGGGCTATGTCCCAACCGGCTAGGTGCCCTTTCTCACCCCTTTTTTGGCTGGGAGGCTTCCCCAACATGATAGGGTCTTGGGGACCCTGGGGTGGATTTCCACCAGAAGAAGCCAAAGGAGGGTTCCTTTACTAGGTCCCCCAGCTGCCCTCACTCACCAACTGTTTTGGTTGGGAGGGTTCCCTACTAAAATAGACTACAGGAAAAAGTTGGTAGCCTTGTTCTAACCTCTTTACATCCTTTGTTTGAGTCCTTGCATCCTTTGCGGGTGGGTTGAAAGGGAAACAAAAATACGGGATTCCGCCAGACAGACCGTAGCATGTGAGCTTCATCCACAAGTAAAACAAGGCGCTAAAGAATTACACGAACATATCTTTGGTTGAATACTATCTTATGTTTGTTGGTTTAAGTTTCGCCACAACCCAATGTCAATGATTTAGGCCTCGAGGTCTCTAGTGCTGACTCTGAGTTTGCTTTTGAGCGGATTTTGTGGCTCGTGTCCAGTTGTTTGTCAAGGAATTCGTGGCAGTGAAGAGGCTGAGCCGCAAACAGCCAGAGCCCTTCCATGTGTTTTTCGTTTTGTTTTTCTTCGAATGGCTTGTCTTAAGCTGAGGGGACTCGCAAGATGGGTTTCCGCTCCCGACTGCCTGTTACTGGCTGATCCGTTTATCAACAGAAGCTCAGAGCAGTCGCTGGTTTCCTTTTGAGTGGCGTGTTTGTTTCTCTTTGCCCAAGCAAAGATGTATATTAAGGTCCCCTAGTAGTACAGTAGTGCCCCTTTCTCACACTTTTTGGGGGAGGATTCCCCTGCTAAAATAGACGACAGCAAAAAGGTACTCCTATTCTAACCTCTCTACTCAAAACCTACCTATATAATATGAATGTTGACGTATCAACAAAAAAAAGGTGGCGCGCCGCGGAAGGCTCGCGGAAAGGACGGTGTTGATTTGCGCAGAGTAGTTTGACTTCGTTTGGGTGGTTGTTGCCAATCACGTTTGCTCGCAAAGCGTGCACACGAATTCCCGCGCAGAAGCTACCTTCCTCAGTTTCCAGAAGCAACTTGCCTGCGGAAGGCCCGCAGAAGCACTGTATATAAACTTATATAGAAACATGCTCGCGGAAGGTACCCTTCACACCGCGGACGCTTCGCGGAAGGTTGCGCGGAAGGGTCTGATACGTCAATGCAAATTGAAAGGGAAATTATCAGCACCACCCTTTTGGCGTCCTGGACAACTTGGTCAAAAGGGGGGTTTCCGATTTTCGCAATGACAAGAACCATGCAGCCCCTAAAATGCTTGGTTCCCTGGTGCTTTCCCTTTAATTCACCCTCCCGTCTTGGGGTTCCACTTTTTGCGAAACTCCCAACTTAGAAATATCGCCGTTGTCGGTTTCCTCTTTAACAAGCCAAGAAAAAAGGTATCGACTCAAGCAACAACATGCCGCAACTGCCAGTTCCAGGTGGGTCTGGTGTTTTTAAGGTTCCATTTTTGGGAGGGTTTTGAAGGGAAAGATAGGGAAACCAAGAAAGACCTGGTTTCTCCATTTCGGAGTCCCGGTCGGATTTCTACTTCAGGGGGGCAGGGTACTTAGCAAGTGGCCAGCAAGCCTGGTTGTAACCCACTTAGGACACTTATAGCCATGACTGTTGTGAGTTATAACCATGGATGCAAAAGCCACTTACTAAGTCGGGGTTGATCAAAAGCTCCTTTACACGGGATGACCATCGGGGAAAACCGCTGAACATATGATATTTCCCGCTAAATGGGAAAAGTTACTCGTGGTCAAAACTGGGGCCCTTCCACGGGATATTGATCAACCCCCAAGTGCCCGATTTCCCCTTTAAGCACAAAAGCCGAGAGACTATGTTTCAAGGGAAACCAACCGGAAAACCTGCAGTGTCTCATCTTTTCGAGAGGGTTTTGTTCAAGGGAACCCCACCGGAACACCGCTTCCAGTTGTTTTTTGTCAAGGGAACCCCACCGAAAAACTGCAAACTACCCCAAATCTTGGGCGGAAATCGCACAATACCCCCAATGTGTTGTTTGCTGTTTTCCATGTGGTTGTTCAAGAAAAACATCAAAAAACCGGACAAACTACCCCCAAAATCTTGGGGGGGGGGGGGAACCCCCCTCAAAAAACTGGAAAATGCCCATTTTTTTTTTTGGAGGGGGGGGGGGGTGGTGGGAACCCCACCGGAAAACCGACAGATTCTCGATTTTGCTGGGGTTTTCCCAGGTACTCGCGGGGTTTGCGGCATCTGCACCTCCTCATGGCCTGCGGCATCTTCGGCGCTGTTGGCACGGCGCAGGCGGCGGCCTATAGCTCGGGGCAGGCGAAGAAGCAGCTGCTGTGGTGGCACAAGCAGACAGGCGAGACATGGTGAGACGGTGAGGGTGGTGAGGTGGTGAGGTTGGTGAGGTTGGTCAGGTTGGTGAGATGTGGTGAGATGTGGTGGAGGTGGTGAGGTTGGAGAGGTGGTGAGGTTGGTGAGGGTTGGTGGGAACCTGGTTCAAAAACTTAGCTTGTTTGATGTCTTTAGTGGGTTTAGTGGTGATTTCGGTGAGGTTGGGGGAAACCTGGAGTTCAACTTGGCTTTGTTTTTTTGATGCTTTTAGTGTGAGCTTGGTGGAACCTGGCAGGTTGGTCACTACTGAGTCGTAGTTGTGGATTTGGGGAATTTGTATTTGCTTCTTTGGCGCATGTTGCCAAGGGATGTTGGGACTTTAACTGTTTACCAACTGATGGTTTAGTGGTGATTTCCATTTAAGCCCACTAGAATGTTTTTGTTTTTTTTGGAGGCCTTTGAGGCCTGTTAGTTGGTTTAGTGGTAGGGTGAACTTGTAGGGGAGGTTTGGTGGGGTCTTAAAATGGGTGTGTCGTTTTTAAAGTTGGACCCCCTAAAAAGGTTGTGCAGTTCTTTTGGTTTGGCTGGAAACACCAAACAAAAAGGTACCCTCAAAAAAAGACAGACCCAAATCGGGATTTTGAACCCCCAAAATGGAGTTCGGTGTTGGTGTCCCTTTGAAAAAACAATTAAATGTTACCCTCAAAGAAAGCAGGACCCAAAATTGGTTCGCGTTGGCCATTTTAGTCGGCTCTACTACCTGGTTTCATACAGAGCACAGCAAAGCCGTGAGGTTGCGCGGGGGCTGGGGGAGGTGGGGTGGGGTGGGTGGTTCCATTGCAGTGTTTTAGACAGGGTGGGAGGTGGGATCTCCTGTTAGGCTGTTAGGGGCGGAGTACCTTGCCGGAGGTTGGGAGCCCATTGTTCTAGGGGTTGATTCCCCATTCTTTTCAGCCATCGTTCTTTTGAAAAACCAGCAATTTTTCCCAAAGTTTTTTGTGGTTTTCTGGAAAGAAGGATCCCTGGAGAGAATGGGGGAAGTTACCCCTAGAATTGTATTTGCAGCTTCTCGGGTTTGCCAACAGAAGCCTTTCTGACCATCTTGGTACATCAGGCAGACAGGAAGGGCCGGTGAAGCTTGGTGGGTGTCTTAAGAGGGGCTGCAAGGGGCGCTCGGCAGAGAAGTTGGCGATTCTCCTCCATTTGCTTAAGAATATTTAAACAACAAATGTCCCTTGTTGGTGTTGAAAGGAATTCATCACTAGTGGATATTTGTTTTTGTCCTGGGGTTCTAACTAAATGGACGTTCTGATTCCCTGTGCAGGAGGTTTTTCGATGAGGTTTCAGGTGAAAGTTGGCAGCCGGGGGAGAGCAGGGCGTAGCTTTATCTTTCCACCCTCGAAGATGAAGGGACCGGATACATCTTTGGGGCCCGCTAGGCCCTGAGTAGTGCCCTTTCTCACCCTTTTGGTTGGGAGGGTTCCCCTTCTAAAATAGACTACAGGAAAAAAAGTGGGTAGCCTTATTCTAACCCAGTAGTGCCCTTTACCATTTTTGGGGGGGAGGGTTCCCCCTACTAAAATAGACTACGGAAAAAAGTTGGTACCCTTGTTCTAACCGCTCTACTGGAGGACCTAGGTACTAGATGAGTGCACATCACATGAGCCACAATCAAAACCCGGGTAGATGAAGGTTAGTAAGGGCCAATCCCAGCCATAAATGGCTGCGGCCGCCTTCTTAGCTCTTTACATGGTTCTGGGTTCACCATTTTAATACCGGGTTTTGATTGTGGCTCACATTGAGTGTGGGTTGCCAGCATCTTCTTCAGCTTGTCCTTTGGGCCAATGGCTGGGAGCCTTAGGTCGTTTCCAGGAAAAAGCGACACGCACTCCGAAAGCCGCTTGCCGATCGGTGTAAGAGTCGAACTGGAGTCTCCATGACCCGAATCAAAAAACTAGGTCCATGACCAACCATTACTTGGGGTAATGACCAACCATTTTTAAAGGGTCATGCAGACTCCAGGTACTTTGATCAGGAGATTGATCCCTTCGGAAAACGAAGGTTGGCCCATCCCGCAGCTGTTTGCAGCGTGAGTATCCCGCCTGCCATGTGAATTGCGCATGAGCTTCGGTGAGCTAGGCCGTTTTCGAGAACCAAAAACATGAGCAGTTAACTAGGCTTCATAAACTTGTTCAGCGTTTTCACCAAAAAACAAGTATAAAATACAGAAACATGTAGGACGAAATAATCAACAAACAAAAACTCCCGGGGATCTCGCTCGCTCGCTCGATCGCCGATCGCGGAGCGATTTGTTTTTAGTGGCGCCAGGCATCGCCATGCTGCTGGCGCTCGTGGTCCGCTTCTTCCTGCGCTTGAAGAGCGGCATCCCCCCGCGCTTCCCAGGCCACCCCTTGGTGCAGATGGCGCGGCGGCCAAGAGATCCAATTGATCGATCCAGATCCCTACAGCCGGGCTGCTCGAAAATATGTGTCTCCAAAATTAGGGGAAACCAAAACCGGGGTTGAGGTATAACTCAAAAACCAACCCAAAAGGAGGAAACCCCTACAGGTTCAACCCCACAATCGTCCCACTGTCTTATGGACCAATTTCGTGTTCCAGTTTCATGCTTGGAACTCGCAAAGCCACGAGATTTTATCGGTTCGACCGGTCCCCGCGCCCCGCTCGTCGATGGAACACCGTCTTTTCACAGGTGTCTTGAAGGGCTGGGCTGGGTATGGCAATTTCTCAAGCCGCAAAGCAGGGGCCAGTCCATATGAATAGTTTTCCGGGATGCCGGCCTCCCAATTTTCATATAGGTTCTGTATGTATTTGGGTTGATTACTCGGTACTCAATGGACATGAGATGACCATTGCTCGGAAAACCACAAGACAAGTCGATGCGACATTTCAAGCATGGGACAAGTCAGCCATGGTGAAACCTGGCAGCCGAACCATGGAACACAGACTAGGCCCCCAGTAGTGCCAACTTTTACCGTTGCTGTTTTGGTTGGGAGGGTTACCCTACTAAATTGACTGCAGAAAAATTGTTGGTACCCTTATTCGAGCCTCTCTACTGGAGGACCTGGAGGGAAGTTCCCCCTTGGACCACCCACCCGAATGGAATGCGATTCCATCAAAGTTTGGGGGAGGTGGTTGTGAGCAGTGACCATTGAGGTGTGTATGTATGTCTTTGTCACTCCTTTTTCTGGTTGGGAGGGTTCCCCTACTACAGTTTGACTACACAACAAAGGTTTGTATATTCTAACCTCTCAAATCTGGAGGTCCTGGAACATCGATCCACCCCCTTCCCATTTGAAGGGCTCACGCTCGCCCGATTTCGGCAATCGGCGAAGCGGCGCCGAGATTGAGACGCAGAGCCTGAAGGCCTTCTACCTCCTGGCGCTGTTGCTGCCCCTGCGCCTTGACATCTGCAGCGATCGGTCTTGGTACGTCAGGGTTAGGAGGGTCCCCCAGCAATTGGTGCCCGGCCACTCACCCGATTCTTTTGTTGGTTGGGAGGGTTCCCCTACTAAAGATTGACTACAGAAAAAGGGTACCCTTATTCTAACCTCTCTACTGGAGGACCTGGTCAGGTAAGGGGTTAGGAGCCGGTGATAGCCCGCTTAGAGGCTTATAACCATGGTAAGTGGGTTGTTACTCGTCAGGTAAGTGGTTAGCACCCATGGTTATAAGCCTTAGGCGACGTAGAACCATGGCTTTTGTGGGTTGAAACCATGGCTCTAACCACTTCCTAAGCACCTTTAAGCAGGAAAAGCAATGACAGACTCGCTCCCCGAGGTCATGGACTTTCGACCTTTTGAGTCTGCACCATTTTAGTGGCCAAAAGTTTGGTTGTTTTTTTGGCCACTCAGGAAGTGAGTAGGCTGACGATACTGCATTGGCAAAATCCACTTTGCACCAGGTTGGTAGGCTTCATCTGGTGGGAAGTGGACTTTCTCCATCCACCATAGCGGAAGATTACCTTTTTCATTTATCAGCGGCTAAATAGCGAAAAGATTCGTACTTTCCGATTTCCGACCTGCTACAAACATGGCAAACATTGGTTTTACTTAGTAGCCCACCCCCGCCGATTTTTAAGTGAGTCTCTAGTAAATAAGCGTTTGCCCCAGCCCATGGCATTTGGTCACAAGTCCGGACCTCGAGTATGTTCACATCTTTGGGGCGCGGATGCTCGCGGTGTCCATGTTCTTCCAGTTGCTTAAGAATACCTATGAATGTGTTGGCTTTAAGAATGTATTCATACATGGTGTCCATGTTCTTCCATGTTAGTTTCCATTGTTGGCTTTAAAGGGCACCTATCAATAGTGGGCATAGGTTTTGTTCTGGTGGTCTTAAGCAATTGGAAGTCTTGCTGGCTAAACGTGACGCACACAATAGAAGGTAATAGATCAGGCCTAGCTTGACTCTTCCGTGGCGGGTCCCTTCCACACCATTAGACTTTTGCTTGACGATTTATAGTTTACAGGGATATCATGAGATACTTCGCACAAGATTTGGCTTTTGGGCTTTGGCCACCATGCTCGATGATCTAGTCTTGCTGCTCAGCAGATGAGGCAATGACCCCAAACTAAACCATCCAACTGGTGGTTTCCTTTCGGGGACAGCCTAAGTTCGTTCGTTGTCTCCTTCCCTACCGATTTCGCAGCTCGTGTTTTTCCGGTGCATCCCACCGCTGCGGAGGTCCGGCATCGCCAACGAGTACTTCCTGAAGTGGGCACCTGGTTCAGACAAGACCGGGAAAGCGGAGGAGAGGGCTTCGAAGCTGGAAGTTCCTAACCGGACCAGCATCTTTTTTCTGGTTTGTTCGTTCTGTTTCTTTTTTGTTCGTTCTTTTTGTTGTTTGTTCTTGCTTTCGTTCTTTCTTTCTTTCTTGCTTTCGTTCTTTCTTTCTTTCTTTCTTTCTTTGTTTTTTTGTTTGGGGGGGGGGGGGTGGGGGGGTGGGGGGATTTGGGCGAGTTTTTTTTTTGGGGGGGGGTTGTGTCCTATTGTCAATCAACCCTGGCAATCCCCATTTGCTGAAGATGTGTGTGGTGTGCGTTTCACGCTTTTCAGTTGCCCTTAGACGTAAGCTGTAGCATGACAGTTGGACATGAAATTCTGAGACACTTCAGACGAATGCGATGATGTGAAATCTGAAAGCTGGTTGGACCCCTTCCGCCTGGCGCAAAAATGTAAATCGAACAAACCGTCGAAAGGAAAGAGGTCCTTGTCAGACTGCATTGCGAACTTGTATGGCCCTGTGGTGTTTCCATAAATAAACAGTCCATCATGTGTATATATATATATATATATTCTACATACATATATATATATATGTTATTTGTTTGGTATATGTTGGCATTTGATCACTAAACAAAATATAGAATATGAAATGCGACACCTGTCACAGGAAGTTCACAGCCCTCCACGCCATGGATTTTCAGAGAGTCCAGCACCAGGGAACCCTGTTGTCATAGAACTGTTTCTACCCCCTTTCCACACTAAACCCTAGGTTCCGCAGTGCCCTTTTACCCTTTTTGGGGGTTCCCTACCAAAATAGACTACAGAAGGAAAAAAGGACGTACCCTTGTTGTAACCTCTCTACTGGAGGACCTGGAACTAAAAATGGTCTATTTGAGTGGTTCCAAAATCAGAGTGCGTTTGGGGGGGGGGTTTCTGGGGTGTGTGTTAGTTGACTGTTGCAGTGGCCAAGCTCCAACCAGGGACACTTCTTGATAAGCCCAAGCAAAACCAAATCAGATGAGAGAAAACCAGCACCTCAAGACGGGCAAAGAAAAAGGAAGAAACAGCCAGCTTGTCTCTTTATTGGAGTCTATCTGAGTTTCACTCAAATGCCATAAGTACAATTACTTAACGAGCTTGGATTGTATTGATTTCCATTTGAATTCTACGTTGAAAGTCCTACTCGGAGGAAGTCCCAATTAAACTCAAAATCAATCGAACAAGTCATAATTGTTTCCTATTCAACACATAATCAATGCAATGCGTTTGTTTAACATAGCTAGAACAAACAACCAACTTATCTTTCCTCACCAGTTTGTATGTCAAGAAGTTGAAGCATGTATCGGACTCCTAGATGCTTGGAAGGGAGCTCCTATTCAAAATGTGATTCTGAAAATACAACAGCCAGCAGGTCCTTGCCTTACTAGATTCTAGCTGAATGACAACCAAGTTCTAATTACGTAAACTTCTACTTGAAAAGGAGATCCTATTTCGGGAGTTCCTGTTCAAAGTCTACCGTACATTTGGACCGATATTCCAGATGAACATCTAAAACAAAGTAAGGGTCCGAAGGAACTTCTAATTGAAATCCTGCTTGGAAGGCTAAAATATGTTTCATCATACCTTGGTGCATGTAAGTTCAATCGAAATCCCAGTTGATGTTACAGCCCTGCAACTTCAAACTTGCATAGCAAATGGCATTGAAGTTTCATTGTGCATGGCTTTTGACTGTTGTTCGACTCTTTTGATCAAACCTGAAAGTCACAAACACGTGCATTACCACAGGCCACCAATCTCTTCTATTAAAAGGGAGGCTATCATGGGTTCATGTTAGTGGCCCAAAGGGTTACGTTCTGGGTGCATCACATTTTAACCGCTAGGGGAAACGAAAAGGGATATCTAATATCTCGTTGTTTCCGGACCTTGGATTTGCAAGTATTTGTTCACCCTAAAGGAAGCGAAAAGGGTTGGTCCCCTTGTATTTGGAACTCGCTATTCAAGTCGGGACACATCTTGTTGCCAAGCTGACCAAAGTTTTTGCGGGGGGGCATAGAGACATCTCAACATCGCCAGTCCAAAGCACAGTTCGCGTGCCATAGGTTGTGGATGGGGTTTTCGGTTGCCTGTTTCTGTAAAACCAAGGGACGCCCCCTTTTCTTCCATTTGCGTTTGCAGATTGTTTTCCTTATTTTCCCTTGTTGGTTGTAAAGGGAATGGATATCACTGGACTTATTTGCTGAAGTGTTGTGTTTGCCCTTGTTGATTGCAAAGGGAATCGATTTTAGATTAGAGATATCTTCTTGTGATTTTTCCCCAGGGGGGGCCTATCCGCAAATGGGAGTTTGGGAATCAGCTACTTTGGTATCACTGCAAGGTTATTTATCAAAGGCCATGTTTACCGCAGGGATTCCCCGCTTTGAACTTTGCTGCCGGTTTTGACTTCGCTTCCCTGCAGGATGACAAGCGGAACGACCAGATGGCCAAGATGGCCATGGACAGCCACAAGCTGCTAGGCGGGCCCTGCAAGTGACTGCATTCTAAAACCTCAGAAGGTGTTTCACTTTCTGGGCTTCAAATTTTCACCCAGGCAACAAAAGAGTGCCAGAGTACCTTCTTCGGGTTGGGGATGGCCCTCGACGTGGCCAGGCAAGTTCCTGCAGTACACCTGGCTTCCCTTCCACCTGGGCTACACCACCCTGTCACTCGGACGGCCGATCATGGAATCAAACCTCCCCGCGAAATTTAACCCACCTTGAAGTCTTTTTGTTTTTGGGTCCGAGTGCGTGGCGGTCTCTGGAGCGAAACCGCCAATCGAGGTATCATTGGAGCCAGGGCCGCGGTGTGGTGCGCAAGGTCTCGCCCTTCGTTTGAGGCGTCCGTTTTGTTTTGTGTTTTTTTTCCTTGTTTCTCCGAGAGCTCCGAAGCCGGAGTAGGGACCGCAGTAGTTCCCTTTTGCCCGTTTTTGGGGTCCCCTACTAAAATAGACTACAGAAAAAAGGGAAGCCTTATTCTAACCCCTCTACTGGAGGACCTAGAAGAAGTTCCCCCTTGGACCACCCGAATGGAATGCGATTCCATCAAAGTTTGGGGGGCATGGTGGTTGTGAGCAGTGACATTTGAGGTAGGTGTGTAGGGTATAATTCACCACCCATTTGTCCGTCTAGTTCAGTGGGGATCAGGATGTTCACTGGGCCTACGATTTGGATTTTGACCCATGGCCATATTGGTAAATACACCGTTGGAAGTGATTTTTTGGGGGGGCCATAAGCTCAGGGGCCGTGGAGCTTTTTCTCGGGGCACCATCCTTTGCCATTCTTTCCGGGGATCATTCTTTCTAGAAGACTCTCCGGAAACCCAGGGGAAGCGGAACACGGATCCGGTTGGAAAGAACCATGGTTGACAAAGAATTTTGGGAATCACCCGCTAGGTGTTTTAAAAACTTACCTCTTAAAAGCAAAACTTTTCAACTTTTTGGGGGTAACATGGGCTATATGTCTGTAAAATATTAACTTCCCCAGGGCTTGGAGTTTTAAGGGGTAAGTTTAGTTGATACCCTTTCCAAAGGCACAAGGCGGTCTTTCGTACCCGCATGGCTTTACCTTTGGAATTGAGGAAGTTCATTTCTACATGAAAAATGATCTATATTCCCTTCGGCCCCCAGATGACCTTGGTAAACTTTTTCCCATGTGGCAATAACATGTGTTTGTGTTTTTTTTCCAAAACATATAGGAGCGTTCATCAACCCCCGCATAGACGTTCCGCTTCTAACCTCTCTACTGGAGGACCTAGATGACGTTTACGGCTGCTGGAAATACAATGTGTAGGCACTCCACAAACACACCGCGGACGCCCGACTTGGATCTTCGATTCGCCAAGTTTTTATATGCAATTAGCCACCTGGGCTATAACCCACTCACGGGGTTAACCCCCACTTATGGAGGCTTATAAGTGGGCTACAACCTGATCAGCAGCAACTTGCTAACTTGCCCGAACAAAGAAGTAGATGAGTGCGCCCATAGCTTGATGGCAGAATTTGGTCAAGCAAAGGCCCCGGAGCTCAGAAAAGTTTGCCCTCCATTGCATGTTTTTCAGCTTCGGATAACGGATGTGGAGAACATTTATTACTACTAGGTCCGGGAGGGTTCCCCTACGGAAAAAGGCTACCCTTATTCTAAGCTCTCTAGTGGAGGACCTAGTTGAAGTATTGCCTCATAGATGCTAAGGTATCACCCATGGAATATTCCAAACGTCTCCCTCCCTGTGCCTGGACTGTAGACTTTTTTGGGTTTGGACCGTTTCGGTAAACCAAAAAGTCAGACTTGTTGTTGCCACTCAGGGGCCAATCCACGGAAGTGAGAAAAGACTCTTTAAAATGGAAAACGAATGAACATTCGAACTGGTCGCTAAGCTTCCAGGTCGACTCATGCGGATTTTTCTTCCGTGGAAGTAGCCCTTCAACAGAAAATTGGTCCAAACCACCCCCCAAAATGTCGGGGTTCCATGTGAAAAGGGTGGGAGAGTATCATAAATTGAGTTGAGGGTGTTGTCCTGAAATTGCACAGCTGTCATGCGAGATACAACATGTGCATGTGTGGTCCGGGCAGGTGTTCTTTTTGGGGTTCTCAATGGACAAGAAGCCGGACACACTCGGCGACAGCACTTGACGGCTAAATGTGTTTGTCAACAGACGTTTGCATGAAGGCACTCAGATGGGAATGCACGAATTGGTTGTTTCCGATTTTAGACAACATCGTTGGGTTTTTTGCACAGCATCTTTGACGACTAGTGTCCGTGATTATGTCATATTATCTGTTAAATATGTGATTCTTACCTCTCAGTGCTCATGTGTTCGTTTTTCAACTTTAGGAGGATCCAAGGCAACATATCCTTCGGACAAAGATGGACATTTGCAGTACTGCTTCCCAGCAGGCTCTGGTAGCTTCGGTGGAATCCACGAATGATAAATGATAATAGTAAAAGCAAGTAGGTGTTTTTTTCTTTCTCGGGCGAGTAGAGGGGGGAGAAAACTGATTTTGCTTGATGTCTCACTTCCCGAGTTCCTCGACTTCATACTTTTTGGGAAGGCCATCCAGGGCCCTTCTCTCCCCTTTCTTGGGGGAGGGTTCAATTCCCTGCTAAAACAGACTAGAGAAAAAAGAAACGGTACCAACTTATTCTAACCTCTCAAATCTGGAGGTAGCCATTTGAGTGGCCAACAACAGGCCCATCCACTCGTTTTGACTTCCGTCCGCTCGGGAAGTGAGTTGTCATAACTTTCGATCTGAGCAGTGGCCCTTCTCCGTAACGGCCTGCGATCGTCCCATTTCCCTGCAGGGTAGGTCACCAAAGGCAGCACAAAAAAATGCTGGTTATCTCTAGGGGGCAAGCTCCAGCGCCGAACAGGAGAAACCCCTCCATGTCCCTTTTTGGAACCTCCCCATAGTGGCACCTTCAGTGGACAACTCCCAGTAATTTCATCAACTGTTGAAAAGGAAGAAAGAAGATCCAGTGCCCCCTGCCGAACGCTGCCATGGCTCACATCTGCCAGGCTTTGCATTGCTTCGAGCTCGGCCTTCGCCGACGGAGAATTGGCATAAGGCAAGAAGGAGCACGGGAGGCCGTGAAAAGTGCAGCGCCTTTGTTTTTGTAGCAGATCCACCGCTACAAAGATGACACTTGACAGGAAAGTGGCCCCCTCAAGGGGACATCGATCGATCAGATACCCTTCCAAGTTGGTGAAAGGAATGGAGTCATGCCTGTTTAGGCAGCCACGCTCGGGGAAGCGCAATGGAGGGGTCAGCTTCAGTGGCTCTGAGTTTTAACAGTGAACCCCCCCCCAAAAAAAAAAAGGGAAAAAGAACAAAAAGGCTGGACACAAATTCCAATGCAACCTAGGTCCCCCAGTAGTACCCTTTAACCCTGTTTTGGGGGAGGGTTCCCCTACTAAAATAGACTACAGAAAAAAAGGGCACCCTTGTTCTAACCTCTCTACTGGAGGACCTAGCAACTGATGTCCACCGAGGGCTCCAACTTTAAGCCACATGTGATGGGCTGCTTGGTCCCCATTGTATCTCGTCATTTTCCTTCGCTTCGTCTATCCGTGGTTTGTACTTTCTGCACGGCACCTGCAAGATTGGAATCCAGATCCCCTTCGCCAAAGTTAGGTGGGGCATAAGCAGGAATTGGAATTGGACAGCAAGTAAAGTTTTTGCTTTTTTTTTACATACCAATAAGCAAGTGAGGGGAATGAAGTACCACGCAACAATATTTGCACATACATGTGTATGCTGCGCAGCTCAGAAGGTGTTCTTTGCTCCTGCTACCAGCCACAAGCCCCTGGTTCCCCGCCTGCAATGTTCAAAGCGATCAGCTGGATTCCATTTGCTTAAGAAATTGTTGTTGTTTTGTTTTTATTCTTATTTAGCCGCCGTTGGCGTGTTCCGCCGGCCACCCGGCTGAAGCAGGGGGGGGGCAAGGGATGCTGCCACTGCGCGAGGAATCTTGCGGCGTGGCTGGATGCAACGTGTGGCTCTCACGCTTCTTTTCCTGTCTTGTACACCCCGCAACCAGCCGGTCTCACTTTGGCCTTGGTCCGGTCTCAGCACTCCCTTGCAGCTGCAGCCCGAGCAACTTGCCCATGTCTGACCTTCAATTTCACACAGATGATGCTATTGGTGTCTGTCACTCCCGCATGTGGCACGGCTGAGGCACGGAGCCACGTCGAGCTCAATGCAGCAGAACTCCGGAAGATGGCCGCCGAGCGGTTAGAAAGAAGGGCTGCCCGAGGAAGGCAAAGGCAAGAAACCAGGTGCTTGGAAATCAGAGAAGTAACCGCAGAAATGAAATGTTTGTTGGCAACCTGAGGATGCTGGTGGAGCTGGACGTGGCTCCGGGCCTCAGCCGTGCCTGCCACACACGGGAGTGACAGTCGCCGCCAGAATTCCTTCTAATGAGACACCAATAGCATCATCTGTGTGAAATTGAAGGTCAGACATGGGCAAGTTGCTCGGGCTGCAGCTGCAAGGGAGTGCTGAGACCGGACCAAGGCCAAAGTGAGACCGGCTGGCTGCGGGGTGCACAAGACAGGAAAAGAAGCGTGAGAGCCACACGTTGCATCCAGCCACGCCGCAAGAGCATAGTAAAATGAAGGAGGGCGTTTTGAAGGTTAGATCTTCTCCGCTCTCCGAGCTATCTGCCTCGGCCACAGCGCCAGACAAACGCCGCAAGCTGCGAGCAGTGGGAAAGGCGCAGCAACAACAGCACGAACAAAGACATCCAGAACGCAGGAGCAGCGAGGGTAGGTTCAATGTCCGCTCTCCGCGGGTTTGCCGAGGGAGATGCCCTTGCGCAACCACTAAAGAGACACTATAGCCTCTGACAGGAGAGAGAAAGCAAGACAGAGAAGATATGGAGAAGGGCCGGGAGGACCGACAGTAACCCGTCGCAGTGGACAACACGCGGCAACGACAGCGCGGACAACAACAGCCAGAACCCTTGAGCAGCGAGGGTACGGCCAATGTCCGCTCTCCGCGGGTTTGCCGAGGGAGCGGCCTTTGCGCACAAAAGAGAGACGATAGATGCAGATGGGAAAAAGAAAGCAGGGGGGAGGGGAGGGGGGGGGGGGTAGCAAAAATCCGTCGCAAGGGAAAGTCTAAGCAACAACAGAAACAAGAACAACAACATCCACAAGACACGCCGGCAGGCCGGCGGACTTTCCCCTGTTGGTATTAAAGGGACTCCACTTCTGGACACATGTCCATTTTTTCTTTCCCAGGCCGCAAACGCAAATGGATTGCTTTCATTGGCACGTCCCGGATGCCACTTGCCGATTGCTTGAAGGCTGTAGTCAGCCAGCTTAAGGCTTAGTATTTTCGATGTGTAGTTGCTCATAATGTTGACCCCATATGCATCAACCAACCAGTTTATGATTAGGGGTTCCGTTGTCCCTGGGCTTAGAGGGGAATCATCACTTTTGGAGGGGAACACCCCCACTATTAATAAACAGGTTGGTTGATTAATATGGGGTCAACGTGAAGCTGCTCTCAGACGAAGGTGCTTGCAGCCGCAAGATTTGAGGCAAGTTGATTGCGCGACACGATGTCAAATACTGGCTTGAGTATGTTTAATTCAAATCATCTTTGGCTTTGACGCGGCATGGAACATCTTGGAGAGAGCAGCTTGCATTTATCAACCGCTTTGCCAAGTGCACGGCGACTCGCAGACATCCTGAGCAAAGGCTAGACGTTGGATTGCAAACCAGTCTTCTTCATTCTTTCTTCTTTTTTTTGGGGGGGGGGGGGGTGGAAAGCAATTTGAGTCCACACCTAACCAGTCAGTCTCTTGACTCATGGTGTGCACATTTGAAGATAAACGTACACTTGCCCGGTTGCCCAGTGGTGCCCTTTTTTCTTTGTTTTGGGGGGAAGGGTGTCCCTTTCAAGTCAACCCACCAAGAACGGATGCCTTTTTTTCCCCACGGCCACAGGGCATGTGGGATTGAAGAAACAGCACCGTCCAAGTTGGTTTCCCTTGTTGTGACCTGTCACAGGGTTTCTGCTCGAAGCAGTTCCGCCACGCGGCCACACCGGTGGGCGGTATCCGGCCTGCTTCGCCTTTGGGGCGTCACATAGAACCCCCCCTGCGACTCGCGAGCGTGAGCAACACGGTCAGCGCGCTGCCCGGGTTGCAAACGTTACGGCTGGCTGCCGCTTTTTCTGGGGAGCTTCCATTTCCATTCTGAACCCAGGGATCCGAATCTTTTCAGGAAACCATCAATAACCATGGGGAAACAGAGCCGGTTTTAGAAAAGAACGATGGTTGAAAAGAATGGACAAGGAATCAACCCCTAGGATTTCTGCTGCTCTGACCTGGGGTATACAAGGCAATCGCTCGCGTCACACCTGCGCACCTATGGCTTGTCAAAGATACCGTACCCCCCCTTTGGAGCACGGCAACAGGCGGGCCAACGTCAAGCCGAAACGCACTCCGACAACCTGGGCGTGAGCTACAGCTGCCCCAGGGGAACCGCCGAAGGAAAACCCCCTTGGTCAGACAGCTGCATTTTTGCTGTCCACATAGCCCACAGCATTTCCGCTCACAACATTTCTCACAAGCACCCAGCAATATTTTCGCAGACAAGAGCCCACATTTCACAATATCACATGGGCGGCTCATCTTTGTGTGAGAGTTCCCCTCTCCCCGGCCCCCCCCCAAAAAAAAAAAAAAATCCAACAACCACAACAAAAAGAACCAGTGTGTTGTTTAATGGGAAACTCTCAAACAAGAGGAGCCACCCATTTGTTGGTTCTTTGTTGAGTTTGAGTTTACCCTGGGGTTGTGTTCACTGGACAGCCAAGCCATCCATGATTTCATCATGAGACCAACCCTCTTGGCGGTTACGTCTTGTGTTGAGGGCACGCTTTGTGCGGTGAAAAAGAGAAACCAAAAGGATACCACATGGTTGGAAGGTTCCTAGGTCCCCGAGTAGTGCCCTTTTCCCCTTTTTTGGTTGGGAGGGTTCCCCTATTAAAATAGACTACAGCAAAAAGTTGGTATTATTCTAACCTCTCAAATCTGGAGGACCTAGGTTGTTCCCAATTTTTGGAGACAAACCATGTCCAATTCTTGCGGATCGGACGGTTCCGGAGGCACTGCCTCTGGATGTGCTGCGTCGCATCGTGCGGGGATGCCCCAGAACTTGCGCTGGCGGCGTGCGAAAGCACAACGGGCGATGTGGGCAGGGTGTTGCGGTCCTGCAACGCCCTTGGGGGGGCTTCAGAGCATATTTGTGATTTCATTTGGCGAACTGGGTGTCGGCTCACTGGGTTGGTACTCAGGTTTCTGCGGATTGGATTGTTCCGGGGCCAGGGGAGCCAATCAAGGCCCCCCATTTCCAACTCAGTCAACAGGGCTGCAACAGCCCAGGGGCGGCTTCTTGAATTTGTTAAAAGATTTGGACACGTTGGCTGTTGGCTGGCGCATTTGTCATTGTGTGACCAGGTCCAGAGCAGACGTCCAGTTGGCAAAGCATGCTATCGATGGCCTTGCTTGCACAGGAAGCTTATCCCTCAGCGTCCCCATCTCATCGCGTTTGGTGACGTTGAACTGCACAACAACAGAGTCAGTTGCCTTGCATTTCATCACATCAGTCGACCTATCCTGAATCCTGAGCACGTGTGAGCACTATTCCGCAATCCAAAACATGAAGACAAATTATGTAGATGTTATCCAACAAATCAACACGTCTTTCCAGACAGACACGCGGGAATGTTCCTTGATTTTGCTCTATGTTTCCCTGGGGCGTGAGTTGACACACTGCACTGTCGCCCGTCAAAAAACTGCAAAACTAACTCTTGGATGAGCAAAAGACGGAGGACGCCGCAACGTAACACTGTCGGAGGCGCGCTGTAATTGACCCAATGATATGAAGAGAACCGACTCATGAAGACGTTGTATTTTTTTCAAATGGGCTGAACACAAACGATCACGGATGCCAATGTTCAGTATTCTGGTTGTTTTTGCTTTAAAAACACAGTTGGGAAATATTTAAGGTTTCTTTTGGGCACTCCTATGATTTCGTTTCAAATCATAACCGAAAGTGGTGCAGCACATGTTCGACCTATTCTGCATCCAGGGATCCGGAGCGACGCTCGGGGGAATCCACCAGGGAATCGACTGGGAAGCCAAGCGGTTCCCTTCATGGGACTGCCCAAAAACCAGCTACTGTTGATGGACGAAATCCACGCAACGCACCACTTTGAAACCACGACGTGAAACCCATTGTTTGTTGGTATCTACACGGGAGTCATCCTTCCCCAGGGTTTCCGAAGAGGATGTTGTTTTATGCACAGTACCTCTACTTGAGGCGAAAAAGGCTATGCGATTAGCCCATGTTTGTCCCGCCTTTCCTACTGGAAACTTGGGGACCTGCAGGGTCACCGAAGCCGATGGCCTTGGTTACGAAGGCCATATGGCGCCGCAATCTTTGCTAGAGTCCAAACAGGACCGGCCCAAAACGGTGTGGCTTTGAATCAAAGAAATATTCCTTTAACCGGGTGAAACCCATCACCTCCCCATTGAAACATGGAACGCAGCCCCTCGGCTCAAAATGGGACCCCCCCCCCACCCAGTTCCTTGACCGCATGTCCACCCAATTCCTTGGACGCAAGTCCTCCTCGGCTCAAAAATAAAGACCCCCCCCGGCCCTCCACCCATGCAGTTTCTTGACCGCAAGTAAAAACAAATAATCTGAGGATTGAGCTGGTGCCTCATACCACCTTCAAGCCGCTCTGGACCTCTGAAGGCCGAAAAATCGTCCGCGGGCCGGCGCATGCGGGCGCTTCTTTTTTTCATCTGAAGAACCGGTGGGTTGCGCAGAGCAGAACCACCGGAAATGTCCGGGAGTCAGTCCTGCCGGTTTTTTGTTGTTGTTGTTTTTTTGGTTGTTGTGTTTTTTTTGGGGTGGGTGTTCCGATGTCGAAATCAAGAAACGCAAAGAGTGTCCTTTTTCTTTCGGGAAATCCACTGGAGGTTTGGGTTCCAGGTACCTCGCGTTCCATGGTGGGAGGGTGAAGGAAGGCAAATGTGACCTCTCTCCACTGCAATCAAGATTGGTTCCTTTTCCCGTGCGTATTCCGTTCATTACACCGGGAGCCACTGGTTATTTCCTGCCGCGTGGTCCCCATTGGTTTTGCAAGGAAGCTTCCACAGCGTCGTCCATAGGTTTCGTTTGATAGGATCAGGGGGTACAGCTGGATTTCCCCGCAAGAGTTGAGATCGATTTACCATCGCGATCAATCAACTTTTCTTGCTGGTGCTCAGCAGCGAATGAGGGAATGATGCCTACAAACATCCAACTGCTGGTGTGTGTTTTTAGGGGAATTTAGGGGTTCATTCCCACATTCCCGACTGCGCACCAGCGAGTTTTGGTGCCCTTAGGAAGGCTGGCTCGGATCGAGCCAGGTTTTGACTCTTTTTCGGCCCACAGGACTCAAAGCGGAATCGAATCGGCCAAAGGCGACAGGGCACAGGACCGTGCCGGGTGTTGTCTCCACAGGCAAAAGACCTCGGTCCAAGGATCCCCGAAGAGACGCTCCTGTGTGGGAGTGGCTTTTGAACATGGAGCTGTTTTTTCTTGTATGGAATGGGTATGTTGATTGTTTCACCTGCCTTTGTCGCAAGCATCGAAGAAGCTGTTCGGGTATGTTGATGTTTCACCTGCCTTTGTCGCAAGCATCGAAGAAGCTGTTCGGGTATGTTGATGTTTCACCTGCCTTTGTCGCAAGCATCGAAGAAGCTGTTCGGGTATGTTGATTTTTCACCTGCCTTTGTCGCAAGCATCGGAGAAGTCTGACCCATATTGGGGATTGACAAACACCATTTCGCACCACCCAAGAAACCCTGGCATGATATTTCTGTAATACCGACAAACCGTGGTTTCTATGGATTCCTAGGTGGTGCGAAAGGGGTTTCTTCTATCCATACCTAGACCTTCCTGCATGCTCAAGATTTCCGCCTTTTCGCTACGAATTGCCTTTTGGGGCAACCGTGCGTTCAACTTGGGTGTTCAACGCAACCTTCCCGAACCTGTAGGCGAAAACTCCCAACATCTCCCGACTCCCGACCGCGGTGCCGCCGGCGTTTATTCGGCCAAAAAGCACTTGTTCACGCCAACGACGAAAAACAGGTGCTTTTTGGCCACCTAAAATGTTGACCCCTCCCGACCTGCAGGCATGCTCTGCCGGAAGCACGTGAGCATTTGGGCGCCTGACCAGCTGGCGGGCTCTGCGCGGGGTGGGCCGAAAGTCGCTGCCAGAACCGGTGGAGAACCTGATGACCTGGAGTCTCCATGACCCCTTAGAATAGGTCCATAACCCCATTGTTTAGGGTAGTGACCCCATTTTTTAAGGGCTATGGAGACTCCAGGAAGGTCCCCCAGCTAGGTGCCATCTCTCACCCCTTTTTTGGCTGGGAGGGTTCCCCTACGAAAATAGACGACAGAAGAAAGGATGGTACCCTTATTCTGACCTCTCTACTAGAGGACCAGGGGTAGTTGAGGCGATCAGACGCGCGAGTTCCTGCTTCAATTTGTTGGTGCATCCGTCCGCTTTCCGCGGGAGATTTGCGGGTGATTTGCACCCGGGGAGACGGGCTTTCCTATGTTGCCACCTGGTTTTCTAGCATCCTTTTGTGGAAGCGCCTTGTGGAAAGTTGAATTGCGCTTAATTTCACTTTACATATCTCCGCAGCAGTATGAGTTTCAGGCCTTTATTGGCAGAAGGCAGCAATCAGGTCGAGTTACTGCCAGCTGCATCTTGATTGGCCCAGCTTGTTTGTACATGAGGTTCCTTGAACAAGCACACCGCAGAGATGTTTGCAATACTCCATCGCTAACTGTTACATTAGGGCATGTTCTGGCCTGTGAGTTTTGCTTCTGTTTCTGGCAAGTGGGAAGCAGGGTGACTGTCTGCCCATTCCCGTAGACAAACAATGGGGGGAGATGGGATGACCAAACACAAAAACACAGCTCGGCTTGGTCCCCATACCCAATATGCCTGGCTTGGACTGGCTTTATGGGCTTCAGATGGAGAGACAGAAATGAGAAATGCACAAGTTGGGATGAAACAAGTTGAATGAGCGCCACGAATCCAACTGGTACCGGTAACAGGGTACCCCGAACAGTTGCCGGTGTTCCTTTGGCTTTCCCAGTGCTTCCAGTTGCCATTTGTAGTAGGTAGGTAACCGGGGTTTCTTGGCTTTAGGCTTTACATCATGGTTTCTCCTGGTTACCTACTGTGGAGGGACGGAAGTGTGCTCCACCTAATAAAGCCTGGAATGATTCGACACACGTTATGGCTTCAACCTTCGTTTCAAAGTGACGCGAACGGATTTGGTCCAGCCACGGTACTACTTGGTGGTTCGAAGCCATCCCTTAAGTTTTTTGGCTTTTCGGGTTTATCGAGGGTTTCCATACGACCCGCTAGGTGTTTTCAACTTTTTGCAGAGGATCTGAAAACGGAGAGCCCAGACTTTCATGGTAACTGCAAGCGCTGGGTGTCCTTTCGATCCTCGGGGTGTTCCTTTCCCTCTAGCTAGGAAACGGTTTGGATGATTTGCAGATTTCACCTCTTCTTCCCCCTCTATTTGCGTGTTTGTTGAGTACTCTTTCATACCTTTGGTGCATTTTGCCCAGGGATGTTAGGACTTTGACTTTTTGCCAACTAATAAGATTTCCGTATGCAACACCTAAAAGTTAGTCACTTTTAGCAGGGCTTCGCAGATTTTGCATCTTTGATACTCTTCTAACACCCGACAGGGTCGGATTTGATCCGCCTAGCTTCACGTTCCGTTTTCGAACGCTTCGAACCTGCAGGTCAAGGGGCTCATGGGAGTGACTGCGCTCAAGGCGAGAGACCTGTGGCATGAGGGAAAAGCCAAGCGGGAAGACCCAAAAACCACCCGTTGGCGCTGCCCTAAATCAAGACACCCATGGGTGTGAAATTTTGAGGGTACCTTGGGGTGGTTCTCTTCTTGTCTTGGGGCTTATTTAGACACGTTCACATGGCACCAGAGGACCAATGATTCCCTTGTTCGAATCCGGCTTACCACTTTTGCTTGGGTCATTTCGGCAGAAAAATCAAATAGGAGTCCAGGATTGAATGGTCAACACCTTTCGGAACCTTGACTATGGACCAAATTTAGGAACACCAAAAGGTCATTTCAGGTCGATTCGCTCTGAACAAGTAGGAATCTGCTTGATTTTTGCGGACAGCTAATCAAGTCTACGACCAAGAGGATAATTGGGATCTGGATATGTTACCAGGTAACGATACAAGTAGCCAACCGCCGTGTTTTGAACGGGGTGGTTCAAGGCAGCAAGTAAAAAGTATGCTTTTCATGTATTTGTTTTTCCTCCGTGCAGAAGAAAGCACGTATAGAACCGTCATTCGGCTTCCCTCTAGTTTGTGTTTTGGATTGGTTATTTAGGGGTTTGGGGGGTTGCACTAAAACTGCCACTTTAAAGGTCCAAAAAGGGGAAATAGAGTGATCCCTGATCAAGGCTTACCTGATTCACAGTTCGTTTTCGCGGTTTCTAGCCACAAGCATCGTTTGCGAGCAAGTGAGCAAACATCTGCTCTGCTTCAATTCATTGAGATCGGTCCAGGTTTCCGGTTCAAAAGTGGACGTTGGTCTCTTGAGGGGACCCCCAAACTTGTTTGGTTTTGCCTTTTCGGAGTTCCTTTAAAACCAAAAAAGAACGGGTACCCTCAAAAAGTGTTTGTCCCCCAAGATATTTGTTGTGTTTTCCATAAAGAAACACAAAAACACATCGGGGCACCCTCAAAAGGTGTTTGGTTGGTTTCGCTGTGGAGAAAAGCGATGGGGCCCAGAACAAAAGCAAAGGCAAGTGAGAGGTTCGGCACGCGTTTTGAGAGGTGAGCCTGGGTCACTACGCCAACCGCGGGCCAGCTCCTCAGACGTCTTGGAACCCCTAAATCTCATGGAGTCAAACAAAAAGCGGGTTTTTGGTTCAAGCTCCACGAAAATGGGCGGTTTTCTCCTTAGGTCTTAGGCTGTTAGTTGTGTTTAGCCAGTTGGCCATGGGTCAAAATCCCGTACCCCCGGTGAACATCCCAATCCCCGCTAGAATAGACCAAACTGGTGCTGCATCTACCCATGGGATCCTGGTTTTGAGCCACAGCCAGTTGAGTGGCAGTTTCCATTACTCACTTCCGGGGGTTTACGGACCAGATCGTTGTACTTTTTCTGGCGACTTCCTCGATCGGAAGTGAGGCCCTTCGTCGAATTGAGCGGGCCCCGAAAATGGGCGCCTTCTGGCGATCGAATCGAGGCGCTTTCTGCAGAGTTTCCCCCAATGTGAGTCATAATCAAAACCTGGTAAATGGTCGACCCAGAACCGTGTTTCAAGAATTAAGAAGGCGGATATCCGCAGCTATTTATGCCTGGGATTCTCCCTTGCCCTCCAAGTACCCGGGTTTTGAGCACGTGGCTCATGGAGAGGATGGCTGAAGGCAGGCAGCCCGACACCGGTGGCCAGCGACGTCGCCGTTGTTTGACTGGAAAAAGCTTTGCACCTTGGACGTTTCGTCCGAGTGGTTGTGGCTCAAAATTAAACAGGAGGGGCAGACCGCAGGGTTTGGTCCATGTTTCCACTTACCAGGGTTCCATTTTGGAATTCCGGTTTTTTGAGCCGCACCGGTTTCATAGCTGGTTTGTCCCATAGCATCGCATCCATCCCATTGCAGGAGTTCGTTCCACACTCTGGGGCGAATGAGTTGGGGCGGGGGTTTCCCGAGCAACATGTGTGCAACAGGGTTGTGGGATCAGTCGGGGTTTATCCAACCACTTCTGTCATACCTTTGGGAATCCCTTGTTTAAATGGGGGTAGTCTTTGGGAGACCCTTTTGTTGTATCACAGATTCGTGGATTCCATTTCCCACAGCCCTGCTCTGCAATCACTGGATCGGATCTTTGAGGCCATGTTTTAGGAGGCTTGGAAGCAGAAGCCGAAAGAAAGCCGGCCGGGCCAAGCCAAACGAAAGCGTCAAGATCCGAGAGGCCTTTTTTGGTTCATTTGGTGGAAGCACGACCTTTGGGATGTCGACTGAGGCTTATGTTTGACGTGTCGATTTGGCTGTTGGACCTCCTTGATAGGTCAACTAGGTCCCCCAGTAGTGCTCTTCTCAACCCGTTTTTTGGTTGGGAGGGTTCCCCTACTAAAATACACTACAGAAAAAAGGGTACCCTTATTCTAACCTCTCTACTGGAGGACCTAGGCAAGTTGGAAGTCAAGTTAAGTGTCGACGATCTTGAGGGGCTGAAAAACTTGATTTCCTCGAGGTTCGAGGGAATCGGGGCTTGAAGGCAAGCCGGTTGAACATGCTTGTACATCTGTGTGTAACATGCTTTTTAGACCCATTCCTTTATGGCTATTTGGTTGGATCTTTGGACTTGTATCTTGTTGGGAAAGAGTGGATTTTCCGTTGGACCTACAAAAGGATTTTGTTTTGGGGGGGGGGGTGTCAAAAGCAATCAAGCATTTTAGCATGGTTTTAGACCCTTTCCCGTGGTCGACCACCGTATCCGAATCCCTAGTTTAACAAACACGTGGCGCGTTTCCCCCCAAGCCCATTTTGCCTTCTCAAGAAAGCCACACCTAGTAGCTTGGCGGTTCCCTTGTAAGTTTTCAGGGCTTGGCGCGGGTGTCCATTGAACCCCACAAGTTGTTCAGCACCACCCAAGAAACCCTAGAATGATGATTCCCCTATAAACACCAACAAACAATGGTTTCCCATTGAGTCAAAGTGGTGCGAACGGATTTCGCAACCATCCACAGTATGTTTCGCCTGGTCTGAGGTTTGCGGACGCTCGAGGCAGCGGCAGCGGCGCCGGCCGCCGCTTGATCCTGCAGGCGGGCTTCGGGCTGGGGTCTGAGCCATGATCCGCCAAGGATCAAACTAAGCAGGGCTGTGGGAAATGGAATCCACTTCTGTGATACAACAAAAAGGGCTTCCCACAGACTAACCCCCCATATAAAGGGGGAGATTCCAACTTGTATCACAGAAGTGGTTGGAGAAACCCCATTGATCCCACAACCCTGAAACTAAGGGTTTATCAAAAAACCACGGGGTTCGCCGTGACGGGTTTGGATTCCAGGCAGCTTCAGGCAGAAACGAAGCCGCCGAAAAGAAAAAAAAAGCCGCCCGATACGCCGGATGTGCTGCGCCGTTTGCGCGATCCCCCGTTGAGGGTCGCCAAGCAAAAGGTCGGATGAAGATGGGGCCATTGGCATCCATTGCCTGGAGAAACCCACCCAAGAGATGTTATCTCCCACAGAAGAGAACACTTACCTGGGTCATTCTGTCATGTGGGGGCCGGAGGGAAGATTGCTCAACCCCCAGGTGGCCCAAAGAAGAGGGCCATGTTTGAACACACTGCCCGTTCAGAAACCCTGGAATGATTCGATTCCCCTGCAGCTACCAACAAACAATGGTTTCCCATGGTTTCAACATGAAACCATGGTTCAGAACTTCGCCATCCACAGTAGGTGTCCAAAAGAACGACCATAGTGTGAATTTCAATGGAGAACCTTTAGGTGGACTTTCATGTTCACCAAATACTTTGGAGTTGTTAAAATTCATAGCCATATAATGTTGAAGGGTCAATAAGCCGGCCTTCCTTTCAAGTGATGCCCTATTGGAACTTCCAAGGCAGCCCAATCCGAACGAAGCCTGGCACTTGTTGTTTAACCCCAGAACCCTTTGCTTAGCAGTAGCCTGCTCCCTCAAGATTCGGTCAGGGAGTTTGAACTTCTTTGTGCCCTTGGCACGCTTTGTACCCTTCCTTGAGGAACATCCTGACCCCCACATTGACATTCCCCACAGAAGGATGCGTTGCTTTCACACCGCTGGGCAATGTTGTGTTCGGTGTAGATCAGTGTGTCTGAAGTCTTTGGTGTCTTCGATGTGGTGTTGTTTTTTCCTTGGTGTCCTAACCGACAGCCCAAGTGGTTTCCTGAGACAAGATTCCCTCTCTAAAACCACCAAGAAAAAAAAACACATACGCAAATGAAAGCTTCAAAAAGCCGTTTCGGGCTACCTGAGTTTGAGAAACTTGTTCTGGGATATCAAATATCGCATACAAACAATCGTTGTTTGGTACAAGCTGCGGCAAACTGGGTTTGGCAATCTATAATTAAACAAGTGTTCATCTCTATATATAATATTATGTTTATCCAAAATGATTTTCTGAATGGAAACTCAATGTTCTTTTCCCTAGATTCATTTGGAATAATCAATATGCAAATATGCTTTCTTGGGACAATAAGGATGAACTAAAAACCAACCCAAAACATTGCTTATAGTTGTGGTTGCTTGACATAGATTGAACACAACCATCGACCAGAGCTATTCCGCGTTTAAGGAAGACAACTTCAGCATGAATAAGTTGTCGTTTAAGAGTCTATACAATATTCACAAAATGAGTCTGACGTTTGGGCCCTGATGGATTTGATCTCCAAATGGGAATGCCCACAATGGGGGGGGGGGGGGGTCGTTTTCCAAAAACGGGTAAACCCCTCGCTTTGCGCATTTCCTTTGGAGAAACACTCATGTGCACCTAGAGCTGTAAGAGCTGTATGGCTGAACTTGCACGATCAACATCTCTTGTCTCACAAGAACATATGACACGAGCTTCAAACGTCAAAACCCGGCTCTGCGCTTGTCGGGTTGAGCATTGAGCATCCGCACTCCACTGAGCGGCCGGGTATCCGGCACTAGACGCCAATACTTGACCCAAATCTGATTAAGGCCAAGCAATACTGTGGATGGACGAAATCCTGCACCACTTTGAAGCCACCGTCTCACAATACTGTGGATGGTTGAAATAGAAATCCGTTTGGCACCACGAAATGAAACCATAGTTGAAACCATGACGTTTGTTGGTATTTACGTTGGGGGATCGAATCATTCCCTTGGGTTTCTTGGGCGGTGCGGTGCGTTGCATGGATTTCGCAACCCATCCACAGTCAGTGCGCGGAACTCGCCCGTTTTCGCAAGCCAGGTGAGGGACCGCCGGGCCTTTCTGAACTCATCCGACGAGTGCGGCCGATGCTTGCTTTTTGCGTGTTTTGGCGTGCGTGCATGCTCGGGGAATTCGCCCGGTCAGGTTGGTGGTGTGGATCCGTGGTTTCGGAGTTTTGGATTGGTGGTTTTTTCCCTGGTTTGGGAAAACCCGTCCACCAAACCATCCAAGCCACTAGTTGGAAAGAGCGGCAGGTGGGGAAGTGGCTTTGGATGGATCGGTTTTTGGGCCCGCGAAAACTGGCAGAAGTTTTTTTCGTGCCTATGCCCCTTCTTTCCTTCCCATGGAGCGTGACAACGGGGGAACGGGCTTTGTGGTACCTTTAGTTTGAACATCAATGGATTCCATAGGTCTCAGCTTGCCCAATTCAGTGCTTGCCATCTGGTCCAAGGTGAACATTCAGGGTTTGGAGCCATTTCGTCTTTTGGAACCTCCAAAAGTGGCAGTTGGAATGGAAAACACCATCAAATTGCAACTTCTGGACGCAAATCCGGAGCGCCCTGACCTTTTGAACCTCAAGCGCAACTGTGGACTGCCCAGTGTGACTACGGTTCAATCCGACCGCAACTCCTGCCAAGTTTGCAGTTGGCTTCCGAAAGATTCCCGGTGACTTGAATTCGCCACTCGTGTCGAAATAAATTTGCCGTATCCTTGGATGTGTGTGTGTGTGTATCTTATCTGGAAAGAAGGATTCCTATGTGTGTGTGTGTGTGATTCTTATCTGGAAAAAATAATTCCTGACAGATTTCTTATCTGGAAAGAAGGATTCCTGACAGATCCGTTTCCCACCTTTGAGCTTTCTTTGGTGCGGGTTTCAATCACATGCTCAGCGTCCCACGGATGAGTGCAAGCTCCGGCTTGGACTTAGAGCCGCTGGGTCCCCCAGCAATTGGTGCCGACTTTTACCGTTTCTTTTTTGGGTTGGGTTTGGGTTCCCCTACTAAACTAGACAAAACCGAAAAAAGTTGGTACACTTATTCTCGCCTCTCCACTGGAGGACTTATAGCCATGCTTGATCTAGTTTTGCCATTGAGGTGACGCTGCTTGACAGTGCCCTAGTCGGCACACGCCAAAAACCCCAATCAAAATGACGCCATATGTTAGATGTCATAATGTTGGGGTGTCCGAAGATGGGCCCCAAGAATGGCCGGCATCCAACTTCTCGCATCCGTACACCCGCATCCACCAAGGCGGGGAAAAACGAAACCACATCGTACGGCTGGCAGGTACTTGAGAGCTGTGGCGGACCACTACTGCCCATGCCCTGTCAAATATCGACAGGCGCGCGCTTTGGGCTTTCCTGACCTCTTAAGGGGCCCACAGTACGCCACAAACTGCCAGTGGCAAGCTAGAAAATGGGGCAACAGTCGGATGTCTCTCTTGCCACCGGAGGTTGCCTTTCTTCGTTTCTCTCACTTTGAGCGAATTTCCTGAGCCCTCAAAGCCTTCAAGACAGCCGGTGATTTTTAGCCGCCCAAAAACAGGGCGGACCTTCTTTTTGGGTTCTCTTCTTTCTGGAGCAACCAAGTTTAGATGTTGAAGGCACTGGCCTGGCCATGTAGCCCTGAACCTGAATTCAAAATCGGCCAGCTGTGTTCCATTTGCTTGCGAATCTCTTCTATTTTCCCTTGTTGGTTTTAAAAGGAATCTATCACTGGAAACATGTGTCTTATATTTTTCTCCAGTTGGCACAAGCAATAGAATCGTTGTGCCCTTGTATTTTCCTTTGTCCTACCTCAGTGGGACATATGTCTAGCCTTGCCCGAGCCAAGCCGTTAAGCTTCAGTTTTGGGAGAGTTGGCTTCGGCGACCCGATGAGATCCTTACCGGAGCATTGTTTTTGGGTATGGGGGGGGGGGGGGGGTGGATCAATATTCCCCAAACGACCCCCCAGTTTTGAGCATGGGTAGCTTTTCCCGTATTGAAATATCGTATCTTTTTGGTTGGTGGTTGTTCAACCAATGGTCGACCCAAGTCAACGTCATCAATGAGAGCGCCGTCGGAAAGACGTATCGTCCTTCTTCTGACCACTCCCTTTAAGCATGGTCATCCCATGACAACGGACCTTTGGATCAACCCCCATCTATGTCTTCGAAGCCTGGCTTCGAGTCTTCATCTCTCTTTCCCGCCTCAAACGATGGCCCAGTAGGGCCGATCGATGAAGGGTACGTCAGGTAAGTGGTTCGTAGCCATACCCGTCACACCCAATACCCACTTTTTTTAGGGTATCATGTCGACCCTCTACTAAAAAAGGAGGTATTTACCATGGAAAACCAGGTTTTCCCAAAAAATACCCTAAAAAAAGTGGGTATTTGGAGTAGGGGGTAGTTATAACCCATTTAGGAGACTTATAACCATGGCTTTGGTGGGTACCATGCCCCTTTAAAAGTAGGGCGGTTAGGGGATCTTTCTTGTGCGTGGCCGTCGATTGGAACCCACAACAGCCATGATTAGAAGCGTTTGTTCAGTGGGTTATTTCACCATGGTTACTGAGCACTTACTAAGTACCGAATCGAGCCCCTTTAAGCTTCCCCAGAATTAGCTCCCCTTGTAGTTTTTTTTGCTTTTTGGGGGGTCCCTTTGTTTTCCACTAACCAGGCGGAAACAAAAAGAATATATTTTGTTTTGCCGGGGTCAACTACTTCCAGCCTAGTAAGCAGGCCCCTGAAATCTTTCTCGCTCGTCAGGTCTGGAGCCAGCTCCGCGGCAGGCCGCGCGAGTTCTTGTCCACTGAGCGGGGGAGCTTCCTGGACCTGCTTCTTGGGATTGGACCCTTCGACTTTTTCGAGGTCCCCTTGTACCCTTTTTTTGGGGAGGGGGAGAGGGCTCCCAGGCATCCGGTTCAGGTTTTGAGCGCTTTTCAGTTGGTTTAGCGGTTGGATTTCCGAATTTCACCCACTAAAAGTGTGTCACTCTTAGCGGGGGATCTGAAAACGCAGCCCTTTGGGGATTGGACCATTACACTTTTTCTTGGTCCCCCAGAAAGTGGTGCCGACTTCTACCCTTTCTTTTTTAGTTGGGAGATTCGGTTCCCCTGCTAAAATAGACTACCGAAAAAAGTTGGTACCCTTATTCTAACCTCTCAAATCTGGAGGCCCACAAAACCCACCTGTAGGATTGGGGGTTGACGTCAGCAGGTGGTTGGGTGACTTTTCAGAAGTGACCCCAGCTGTCCAATTTGTTTTTTGGGCCTTGCCAGGACTTGTGAAAATTTGCGAGTGAGTAATGGGGGGGCCCAAACAACTAGAATGGAGTTGTGGGGGACTTTAGGACCAAATTGAACCATTATTATGGCAAACTCTTAGTAATTATGTTGCCCCTCTGGGTACTTGTTGATGGGTATTTTTGTTGTGTTTTTTTGAACAGACAACGAGGTTGAACACCAGCAGAGCGATTGCTGTTGGGGGGTGCGGGTTGCCGATGTTCAGAATCTACGCTGAGTGGATTGAACGCATGCCTTTGGCGCTGGAAAAGTGTGTGTGTGTGTGTGGAGTTGTTTGGCAGCCAACAGGTTCCAAATATGTTCTCCCACTGCCTCTGCAGCTTTCTGATATGCACCTGACTCGCAGAAGTCGCGTGTGTCGAGAGGTTTCCAGTCCAACAGGCCAAGCAAAAACAAAGCAAAACAAAGACCGAAAAACAAACTGACAAACAAGCAAACAACACAAACCAACGAGGGCACCGCCCGCTCCCGAAAGCAACGCCTCGCCCATTAGGCCACTGGGTCAGGTGCCAAGCTAGGAAAACCAACAAATATGCTTTGTTTGGAGGAAATGTCTCAAAGAAGTCCAAACTAAATGAAAGCAATCAAGGGGTTTGGCAAACCTCAAGCCCATTTCAGGTTCTGCCGGCTGATCCAGCGCTAGCCTCCCCCCCCCCGGGCTATACACCCTTGCAGTCGATGTTGCAGCCTGGAACCCCAACAAACCAAAACCCCAAAACCCTAGATGAAGGTTGCAAAATAGACCCCTTCAGTGTCTATCATCCCCCCCTCCCCCCAGAAACCCAGCAGCCTCCCCCCCCCCAAAAAAAAAAGGAGCCTTCCCCCCCCTATAGAAAAACAAGGGAAATTTAGGCATGGTCATTTGGGGGATATTGATCAACCCCCACAACAATCCCGTGTTGGTGTCCCTTTCGGGACCGATTCACTTTGCCCAACCAATCCCCTGAACATCGCACGCCCGTCACGTTCATGGCAAAAGCCGGCAGGTCTTCCGGTCACAGTAGGGCCCAGCTACAGGAAAAATCCACGGAACTTCGCCCGGTCGAAACCGAGTCATGTGTCGGCAGGCCGCTGTACCTCTGGCGCCCGGTGCCCCCCAACGAGGCCTTCGTCTGCCTGGGCATGGCCGGGAAGCCCGCGAAAAACGCGGAAACCCGCTCTGCGGATTGCTCCCGTCGGCCGCATCGGCTTCGGAGGGCTCGCTTGGTGCGGCTTGTTTTGGAGGAAACGGTTGCTGGTTTAAAAAAGAGGAAGAAAAAACCGCGCTCTTGGGGGGCCTCCAGGTTTTTTAATCAGTTTGTGACCTTGTTGGAGTTGCTACTTCAAGGGGCGTACGACTTAGTAAGTGGGTAATAACCATGGTGAAATAACCCACACAACCCATAAGTCTCCGATCAGTAGGTTCCAACCAGGCTTGCTAACCGCTTACCAAGTACGCTGCCCCTTTAAACAGCCTCTTTGTTGTTGGGGTGGCCCATCATTTGGTGTTTTTTAAAGAGTTGCCACCCTTTTTGGTTGGTGGTTTAGAGGAAAACCAAAAGGAATCCTATCATGTTGGGGGTCCATCATGTTTATGTTTGTTGTTTTTAGGATAAACCAAAGAAAGCCCATCATCATGAGAAAGCAAACTGAGAAGCAACAATCACACACAAACCAGTGTGTGTGGCTCAAAATGTAATAGCCGGTTCTGCCTCCATGGATTTTTTTTCAGGCAGCACAAATGGATGAATTGATCTAAGCAGGTTCAGGTAACAGAAATGGCAGTTGGCTTGCCTGAAAGTTGATGTGTTTTGTCGTTCAATGGAGAAGCTCGGTCAATGTCATCATAAGATATATGAACCTCACACGATGGATCTAAACTGGTTGACTAAGACCTTGAAAACCAGGTCTCCCTTCCTGAGTTCATGAACTTTAGACTTTTTGGGAAGACCATTCTAGTGGAAAACATAAGGTTTGGACTTTTTTTGGGCCATCCACTCAGCCGGTGAGAGGTTGTTAGCTATGGAAAATTTCAGGGTCAGTCCTTTTAAGCCATTGCCTTGTCAGCAAGCCTCCGTCTCACTAAATAGGCTGACTAGATCCTCCGATGGAACATGTGCACCATGCAAGATGTATCAGGTTCGAAAACCTCCGGAAACCCAGGGAAAACGGCTGGTTATTGAAAAGAACGATGGTTGAAAAGAATGGGGAATCAACCCCTAGAGATATGCTTTCTCTCAATGTTGGTGGGGAAAACCTGGGGTAGCAGTGGCCCAGAGGGTCAAACGAGAGGCTTGCGGTGTGACACCTGGCAAGGCGGTTTTACCACCGGATTCTTCCAAAGAGGAATCTCCTTGAAAAAGACCCAAAGCTTTTGGAGCCGTGTCAATTTTCAGGCCTTGTGGATGTAGAGAAAGCTCCAGACCACATGCAAACACCTGCAGGAAAAGAGCTTCCACACACAATATGTGCTCTGTTTGATTTAACCTTCGAATGTATTGCTCGGTTTTTGGGTTTGGGGGCCAAGTTCCCCCTGTTAACATTTGCCTGCCGAGTCCGATTTCGGTTTCCAAAGACACCGTCTGCTTTGCCTGACCCCCACCTCTTTGGGCAGCATTTTTTTTTGGTGGCGATACCAAAAAGGGCCTCTGATTTGGCACCTCCCTTTTTGCGTTTGTTGGTTTGGTCTAACTGCTTGTTCAGAGTTTTGTTTCCATAATGCCATCGGTGGTTTCGATTGGTGGGAATTGGAGATTCTAACTTCTGCTTCTAGAGCATAAATAGAAGCCGCCCCTAAAACAAACCTAGGTCCCCCAGTAGTTCCCTTTTCCCAACTTTTTTGGGGGAGAGTTCCCCTACCAAAATCGACTACAGAAAAAATCGGGTAGCCTTATTCTAGCCTCTCTACTGGAGGACCTAGATATAGAGAGGGGTACCACACATCAATTCATTGGGTGGGGAAAAAGGCAACGTTGTCCACGGTGCCTGTGCATGCTTGCTCCGATGTTGAGACTTCAGGTAATTTGAAAGGTGCGCATCTCAAACAAATCGTGTCCAACTGCACAGTGGCCATTGGCGAAGACGTTCCATGTCTTTATGTTAAAAGTCTGGCTACAGGAAAAAAGGGCACCCTTATTCAATCCTCTCGACTGGAGGACCTGGAAACCTATCCAAATCACGTGAGGAAGACGATGTTCCGATTTCTTGGCCTCGGCGAAGCCCGAGGTGGCGACCACGAGCCCGGAAACTCCGCCGCTGGACGCGCTGCGCTGCGTTCCCAAGAGCTTCTGCCGGCCCTGCACGCAGGACGGACAACACCGGAACCTGCTCGAGCCATGAGCCCGGGTTTGTTGTTTTTCTCAGGTCTTTTATGCAGAATTCGCCCCCCTTCTTCCTTTTTTGCTGTTTTGGGGTCCCCTTTGTTTTCCACGAACCAAGCAAAAAAGAGGTTTTTGTTTGTTGTTGCTGGGGTTCTAATTCCAGGCAAGAGGTGTCAAGTGTGGATTTTGTTTGAGTTTGCAGATAGAGGAAGGGGTCTGCAGGGTCGCTGCTGCTCAAGTTCTCATGGCTTTCCCTTGGTGGGTGCTTTGACTAGCAGCAATTGGTGCCCTTTCTCACCGTTTCTTCTCCCTCTTAAAAGTAGACTACAAAAAAGGGGGTACCCTTATTCCACTAACATGGCCTCCCTTCCACGTTGCCATGGCACCTGACAGAGAGGTTGTCAAGAGGAAATTAATCTTCCAGGTAGCCTCTGACAAGTGCCATGGCAACGTGGGAGGGAGGGTAACTTGTTGTTTTATGTTTTGCTGATGCAAAGGGGGATTAAAGGGAAGTTGATAGAAGAGAAAGTTGCGCCAGCAGATATGTTTGGTGAGATCAGGTGGGTGAAATCTGAAGCAGTGACCTGGGGCCTGGCTTCCTTCTGGTTTGCCTCCAAAAAGCCAAAGGGTTGCGCAAGAAAGATGCTCAAATGGCTTTTGGTCAACGGGTCGATGGTCACGGACGTGACAACCATTGCAAGGGTCCTTATGGGGGGCAACATGACGGTATGATGCAAGTAGGGAGTTTGACTACAGAACAATACATAGCACACATGGGTGTGCCTTTAAGACGGAAGTCCACACATTCGCGGTTTCCTTTGGCTTGTTGCTTTCTTTTTAAAACAACTTCCAAAAGGGTATCGCACGAAAGTGACATTCCCATTACTGTGCCGCATACGTATACATATATATATATATATATGAATTAAATCCGGAAACTAAGGCCGATATGCGCGTTGCTGGGCAATGCTTATTACACTCTCGGCTTCGGCGCGTGGCCGAGCCTTTAGGCCAAAATGGGATCACTCAATAGAAGTGGCACCAAGCGCACGGAAAACACGCGTAAGGGCCATTGAACAGTTACGCAGTTGGGTCTTTGCTTGAGGAAGGGATGGTCATAACATGTCATAACCCTAGGGATTTTCGACAACCTTGACGTCAAAGGCTGATTGGTTAGGTCCATATATGAACCCATGGCCATGTTGAACCCTTTGGGGGCTGGTTTCCCATACTGTTTGGCATAACCAACGCAAAATTAACTCATAACAACTAGGGGTTCATGCCAGTTCGTAAAGAAGGATGCACCTAGACCCTCAAAATGTCCAACTCAAAAATGGGTTATGGCAACCCAAAATGATGGTTGGTGAACTTCATGTCTGTTTGGGTAGGGCCAGTCCATTCAGGAAGTGAGGCCCACAGACCCACCTGTACCAGGATTGGTTTAAGTAAAACTGCAGGGTAGTTGGGTCGATTTTTGTGAAGTGACCCCAGCTGTCCAATGTGTAAGGGACCTTGTTTGCTGCTTTTTTGCAGGGGAATCAAATCATCCCAGGGTTTCTGAACGATGGTGCGAAATGGATTTCGCAGCCATCCACGGTATCCTGGATCTTCCAGAAATTCAACGTAAACTCCGGAGACTACCAGTTGTTGAGGGTCTGAGTGAGTTTTTTTGTTTTTTTAAAGCTGAGTTTACAAGCTCCCGGTGTTTGAGGTAAAGCTTTTTTCGGCGACGTGGCCCAGTGCTCAAGTCGCAGGCGCCGGTGCAGCTCTGGGACGACAGCGGCAGCGGCGGCAAGCCGGCGCGCCTCGGGCCGCAAGAAGCGGAAGGAGTCGATGTTTGTCTCGCGCGGGAAAACAATTTCGGGGGGGATTCGTAAGACAAATCAACACAATGAGGCCAGACGAATCGAAGCTTCGCCCAATGATTTCTCAAACTTTGCCTCATGGTTTTACCAGGATCAAAGTCACCCCGGAAGTGGTGGGTTAAAGGAAAACAACCCATTTCCTGACTTTGATGACCCCCAGAAGCCGACTCAAACTAATTAATGACCCCAGTTCGTCCGGCGGAGGGAAAAACCCATCTAGGTCCTTAAGCCCTTTGACTGTTGATCAAGTTCTCATGGTTTGGTAGGTACTTTGACTAGGTCCCCCAGCAATTGGTGCCCGACCTCTCACCCACTTTTTTGGTTTCTCCTACTAAAATAGACTACAAAAGAAAAGTTGGTACCCTTCTTCCAACCTCTCTACTGGAGGACCTAGTTGAGTGGGTGCCGGCCCATGGTGCGAAGGCACCCTTGGCTCAGACCCGTGCTTTATCCTTCGCTGTGTCAAAGATTCCCAAGGGAAACTCAAGCTTACCTGGGGTCTCCTTCTGACCCTTGAAAATGTGGCCCTTACCCAAAATGATGGGGTCATGGACCTATTTTTGGTTCGGGTCATGGAGACTCCAGGTACCTGTGGACCCCTTTGACCCCGCACTTTTTTCTCGTCGCCAAGCAGCTTCCTCGCCGGGAGGGGTTCAAAGCTTCCAGCCCTTCATGGCCACGGAGTCGGTGGGTGCTTGTTCCTGTGCGACGTCAGGGCGCGAAGTCGCCGGGCTAACCGTTTTTGTGTGTTTGTTTTCTTGTAGATGTGGCCGCTGAACAGGGATCCATATTTGAGTGGTTGTGGTTTGGGTTGCTCCCGAGATCAGTACCCTTTTCGAAAAGTATACGAACTGCACATGTACCTGAAGCCCCCTTGGTTCACCGATTCCTTTGTTCTGCCTTACCGCCTTTTGTTTGACCGGCGGAAGAAAAACGGGATCGGTCCATGGGAATTTCGGGCCTGGGAACTGTGATCATTCGGTTCAAAAAGCACGCGTCTTGAAAAGATTCTCATCGTTGTCTCTGTTGGCCAGTGGATTCCACGGTTTTGCTTTTTTTGTTCTCCAACTTGTTTTGGGTATGGGTTCCCTTTTAACCCCAACCAAAAAGGGTGCCCTTTCTTCCCATGGCCACTGGGCATCTGAGTTGTCACCTTGTTCCGCAAAGAGACTAAGCTTGCGTCGTGACACTCTTCAGACATGTCATTGTGACATTGAGTACATGTTGAAGAAGATCTAGTTTTCCTCCGTTCACTTCTGGAATACGCGGCAAGGGGCACCTTGATGTCACAGACATATCAATATACAAAAGCAGCTAGGCGGATGCTATGTGGAACAGGGAAAGCTGAGCAGTTGCATAGGGCCTTTCTGATGAAAGTGGTTTTGAGTTGAGTCACTCCTTACTGGCTTTGGGGAGGACAGGGGACCACGCAAAGCACCAAAAGCAATCCAATGTTCCATGTGCTTCTGTTGGAAGCGTTAGTAAATTGGTTGATTTAGGATCACCAATGCAACCAGATCCGATGTTAAAAGACCTCCAGGGACCTTCTACTGTCATTATTTTGACGGTTTCTACTGGTTAAGTCGGAAATTGGGGCTGCTTCCCTTTGAGCTACCACTTGGGGCCAGTTCAGGCCAGTTCTGGAAGCTTCCATGTTGGATGTGCGCTTTGAGAGTCCCCCGGTTTCAATGGACGCACGAAGGTCCATTTGGCTGGTCAACGCACCGCAGGCGAGTGGGAGATGAAGGGTGGGGGCGTGCTGGGCATAATTTTAGTGGGGCCCTGCACACCCGTGATGTAGGGGTTGCAACCATAGGCTCAAAGGGACAGGGGGCATACAGAGTTTGCATGTAGAAAGGAAGAAGTGGAGAGCACACATTTGTGTTTTACCTTTTGCCAAGAGCAAATTGGCTCGGCTCCTTGCAACCAGGAATACTGCCTTACCCATGCTGCTGTTTTACACAATGACTGTGCCAGGTGTGTTCTCAACTTTTGGCCCTGCACTTGTCGAATATCGATTCTGGCCGTACGCCTCTGCATCTCTGCAGGCTGCAATTGCACGTTCCGCAGACAAATGCTCCGCGAGCAATTGCGTTTCCAAACATATCATGCATTCCTCTTTGGAACCTGTTAACGCATGACGGGTTTTAGGAAGTTTTGTCAAACACGAGGCGTGAATGCCGAACGCGCGATGAGCGGCTACAGTCACTATAGGTCCCCCAGCTAGGTGCCCTTTCTCAACAACTTTTTTGGTTGGGAGGGTTCCCCTACTAAAATCGACTACAGAAAAAAGTTGGTACCCTTATTCTAACCTCTCCCCTGGAGGCAATAGAACAAAACATGGTCTATTTTAGGTCCCAAATCTGAGTGCGTTTTGGGGGGTGGGGGTGCTTGGGGGAAATATCATTGGGTACCTAGACTATTTTAGAGTATCCATGACCCTTTAAAGATGGTTGGTCATTGCCATCTTCATGGACCTATTTTCATTTCGGCTCGGAAGGAGACGCTCCCCTCACGGTCTGTCGCCCGAGCCCTCTGTCCACCTGGCGCGATCGCAGGTTCTTTGGGCGTCGGTGGGCCACAACCCCCCCAGCGAGATCTTCTGGGAGCGGATCCCGGAAAAAGCGCTCCGCTGGGAGCGATGGCGATCCGGTTCCGGGTCCCGGTGTCGTATGAAATGGCTGAAAATAGGAAAAGAGGAAAAATAAGACATGTATGTTTTTTGTTGGCGTAAGTAGGAAGTCTGAACACATTATGTGTTGTTAATGAAAAACCTATATTGGATGAGTTAGTGTTAGAATGAGTCTGAACACATATATGTTTGGGCGCTGGCTGGGAAACCTTGTCAGGTTCATTCCCCGGTGGTTGTTATTTTTTGTTCAACCGCATCCACTGTAGCGTTGTCATGGAGCCGGCCCATATCATTCACCTAGCTGTTCTCAGCCCTGCCCTTATACTTCTTGTTGATTGTCGTGTTTGGAGATATATTTGGCATCTCCCACCAACAGCAGTAAGTGTTGCCAGATGTCAACGCTTTTTCACTCTGGACACCGCTGGAGGGGTGCTTGGCCTGTGAATCTGCGATATCATGGTTGAGGAATGGCGGGTTTTTGATTTCAACCCACCCAACACGGTAACTTGTATGTTGGGACGCACCCATCAAGAAAGCCGGTCTCACTCCCCGTGTTTCCGGACAGTATGTTGGGGAAGACCATTTTAGTGTTGAGTAAGCTTAAACTTTTTGGCCAGTCCAGTCAGGGTGCGGTCTAGAAACTGCAAGGCTGTCCAGTCGGATTGAAGAGGACATGACGGTTTTGGTTTTCGCTTTGAACCCCCCCCCAAAGTGACAAACCACACTTGAATCCCCCGGGCTTCCTGTGGTTCCCCTTGTGGCAATAAAGACATCACCTGTTGGGCCAATTGCAAAGGAGCTTCCTTTCGGTGCGGTGATGCTTAAAGGGGAAGTATACTCAAAGGGGCAGGGTACTTGGTGAGTGCTCAGCAACCATAGTTATAAGCCACTTGCCATGGTTACAAGTCTCCCAGGTGGGTTATAACCAGGCTTGCTAACTCACTTAGCAGACTTATAACCTTTGCTTTTCTGGGTAACCATGCCTACTCGCCCAAGTACCCTGCCGGATCCCCAAATCTCACCGCAGCAAAAGAACCGCTAGGAACTGGCGGCGGAGTCCATTAGCTTCGACTACACGGGCCGGCCCTCGTTGCACGCCCGGACGCCAAGAGTTAGCTTCGCCAGCTTTTTGGAACCCTGGTAAATGACGGGGTTCGGGCAAGAACCAGTTTTAACTTGGTGGCTCCCGACTCCCATCCGGCTCCTTAGCTTTTTAGGCGTGTAGTGTTTAGTGTTTAGTCTTCCTTTCCTTGGTGCATTTTGCCAAGGGATGTTCGGACTTTCACTTTTAGCCAACTCATGGGTTTTCCGTATTAAACCACTAAAAGTTAAGCTTTTAAGCAGGGGAGCAGATTTCGCAACCGAGGTAAATAGACCCAGGGGTTCGGGGATGAAACAGTTTTTTGAGGATCTGACAGCCGCAAGTTTGTTTAAATCCCAGAGGGTCCCTTGGTACCTTCTAGGGAGGTATAGAACGACCCCCCTTTACCCCTCTTTTTAAGCCATCCTCATGAGGTGCCAAAGGGACCCTCCGGAAAATAGACCCAGGGGTGTGGGGGGCATGAACCAGTTTGGAGGATCCACTGAAAGGCGCAAGGGATGGTGAAAAAATGGTGTTTGTGCGAATTGGCCTTTAGAGCTTTTGCTTGCTGGCTCTCAGTAGTGGATGACCTTCCGGGTGTTGGGAATGGACCGGTTTTGGGGATGCCCTTAAACGACGCCGCAAGGGATATAAGGGATGGTTTGTAGGGGTGATTCCCTCATTCCCTGCTGAGAACCAGCAAGTTAAATGGCTGTGGGTCCAAAATGGGTTGCCCTGGCAAGTAGCCAGGACTGCAACCTGCTGTCCAATTCCTGGTTTAAATTTCACCCGTACCCAATGGACCCCACCTTTTGCTTAAAGGCGAACTGAAAGGAACCAACTCATTTTAGGGCACCCCCCTTTTTAAAATCACCGGTGGGCGTTTGCTGGTTTGCTTGTAAACCAAGTAAGAATAGCACAGCGGCCAAAGACGAGCGATTGATGAGGGGCCAGACGAAACTCACCTCTTCGCATGTTTGCTCTGAAGGGGTTTCCCGCAAAAACCGTGTGTGGGTGGGTGTGTTTGGGTGTGGGTGTGTTTTTCCCACACCCAAAGGTCCCTTCGAACTTCCAACAAGAACAGTTGTGTGTGTGGGTGTGTGTGTTTTTTTTGCTGGGGGTCTAAGTCTGCCCAAGGCCCCTTCTGGTACACGGCATCCGGACCACGCGGGCCATCTTTGGTCAGAGTCCTACAATCCCCCCCCCCCCCCCCGCCTTCTAGGGGATCCGCAAAAAAGTCGAGCATGAGACTGCATGTCTAAGGGGGATGAAGCCAGCTTCATCGATGCGTTGTTCCTGGCTTCGAACCCCCTATTTCGATAACCACCCATTCCCAAATTGCTGTAAACCACCATTTTGGGCTGTTAAACCACAATTTTGCCGGGAAAGGGTTGATTGTAAACCACAATGAGGGAATTTAAACAACTCTTTTGCTGGTTTGCTTGTAAAAAAAAAGAAGAAAAAACAATTTTGGAGTTCGCGTCCAAAAGTTTGCGATGCCATGCCATTTGTTTGCTTCCAAAAAATCAGTTGGTGTCGAGTCCTTGATCCAGTTGCCGCGCAGCAAACCACCTACGGCTGTGGTTTACAGCCGACCGTGGCAACAAATGGCCGTGTCTTTTTTGAGCTTGGACCGTGGTGGTTGTCCTTTTCGTTGTTTTTGTTTTTTGTTTGGGGGGGGGGGTTAACACCACTTTAAAAGCAAGGTACCCTCCAACATTGACAGCCACAAATATTGTCGCATCCATGTGGCTTCGTCCTTTTCGGACGGGTCCCCGTGCTTAGTAGTTGTTTGGGCATATTAATGTGTCAATCATGTTACCAATCAAACTTCTCAGACCCAGTGGCGTGTAAAGTCAAGATTGGGCAATTGACACCGTTTCTTTGCTGGTGGTTTGAAGGCAAACCCACAGAGTCTGAGAGCCCATACATTAAACAAGACAGAGAAAACCAGATGCCTGCATGTTAAGATGAAACTGGAGGCTCTCCGTTTGTACCACCAGGGGCCAAAAGGGACTTTCGGGAAGTGAATGATCCATCCTTGCGGCCATCACCGAATTTGTCCTCAAACTCCAGAAATGACGAACCAATCCTTGTTTCTCCTCAAAAGGTGTGGCGAAAGATCGACTTTGCCGGCCCCCACCCCCTTTTTTGGAGCAATGCGGTTGCCTAGGTGGTGCACGAGACAGGTGAAGCACAAGCAGCGGCGCCAAATGAGGAGGCCCCGTGGGTGATGGATGTGGATGGACAGAAGAATTCACTGGTTGTTAGGTGCTTTATCTGGCTGTGGGTCAAAATAGATACCCAAAATGGAACCCAGGCAAATGGCAGCATGGACCAAAACCTGCGGTAGGTAGGCGCTTTATCTCAGTATTTCATACTGTGGATGGACGAAGTCCACTTCGCACCAGATTGAAACCATGGGAAGCCATTGTTTTGTTGGTATTTGCAGGGGATTCTAGGGTTTCTTGGGTGGTGCAGGATTTCGTCCATCCACAGTATGTCATAGGGCTTCATCCATCCCAACTGATGCAGGAGTTTGTCCATGCACAGTGGTTGCCGATGTGTGGGTGCTTGCCGTGTTTCCAATATGTTTGCTGGTCCATTTGTGTTGAGTTGTTTGGCGGGGGCAGGCAATGACCCAATACCCAGTCACAGCTTAGAACTGACCAATACAGCCCGTAATGCTGAGGTAGCTGACAAACTACCAGAACTCTACACGACATTGGCCAAACCTTTTGTGTTTGGTGGCTGTGGTCAAGCTGTTATGTCGGCTGTTGCTTGCTGCAGAAGTTGTCTAACCAACCATAGTGCCAGCAGAGGTATTGCAGAGGTACTGTGCCTTGCCCATCTCACGTGGATTGATCGCCCTTCACCGTTCATCAATGCATGTTTGGGGAAAAAGCTGGGTGTCGCACAGCCCCGGTTTAAAGATGTTTTCACAAAGTAAGCTGGTTTGTTTGAGTGTTTTGCATGTTGCCGAAGTGTAGCAAATGTCCTCCAATTATATTTTATTTTATTTTTTTCGCCAGGCTACTCTACTGACTTCTCCCGTCAAAGCAAAGTGTTAGAGGTTCAAAGAAACAGGAATGCCCACAAGTTTGTAGGTTTAAAGAAAAAGGAATGCCCAACACTTTGGAGGTTAAAGAAAGGGGAATCGCCCGAAGCTTGTAGGGTTAAAGAAAAAAGGAGTGTCCAAAAGCTTCTAGGTTTTCAGAAAAAGGATCCGTGCCACACGTTTCGAAAGGCTTTAAGGAAGAGGAATGCCCAACAGTTTGTCCCATGGAAATCCACCGAGCGCGGATGGCGTCCCAATGAGGTGGATTCCAGCTGGTCCATCGCCAGCTTCTTCTCCAGCAGACGTCGGTCCATGTGAGCCGATCGATCGACGCGAACTTGGCGCCGGAAGTTCCCATGAGACTTCGGCCAAAGCGACCTACTGTCGATGGACGGAATCCATTTCGCACCATTCAGAAACCCTGGTGTCTGATGCTTCCCCTGTAAATACCCGCAAGCAATGGTTTTCCCTCGTTTCCAAGTGGTAAAGGCCTCTTTGCCACGTTGCCATGGCACCTGAGCGGGTCTCGCCAACCTAGAGTAAACTGATCTTCCGGGTGGCGCCCCCACAGGTGACATGGGAGGAAGGGTAACCTCCAAATTCTGCCCAGGGATGCATCTTTCCAGTTTCTTTTCAAGAACAAGGTTTCCTTTCACTTCAACACCCTAAACCCTAAACTCTTAGGTTACCATTTGTTGAGCAGTTCAAGCAAGCTGGCTCACCACGCACATCGAAAAATACGGAGCCCCGAAGAAAGGGTGACATTGGCTTTCAAGGTGTCCCTTACAAAACAGCCCCAAACTCAGTCAACTTTTTACCGGATAGTCAAACACGGCGGTTTCGTCGAAATAAAATATGTTTGTTTCTTTCTGGAATGATGTCTTTCAAAGAAAAGCTCAAAGATGTCAGCTACCTCAAGAGAGCCTTGTTGAACCACTTGGGGTTTTAGCTATGAGCCCAAAGGCAATTCCACTCGGCTTGGTTCCCATGAGACCAGCCGAAGCCCCGAAGCCCTGTCCGCCGCCAAATTCGACGGACCAATTCCTTGCCAAAGTCGAGCAAGGCGCAATCTCACGCGCAGGCTGGTTCTGAATAACCAACTGCTTTGCTTGCTTTCTCTCACAAAAGAGACCTCCGGATTTCCAACTTGACATCTTTAAAAGATGCTTGGGGGTATCGCATTGTTTGAGCACAGGGTTCACAGATAGAGCGGGACGAGCCAGCGTTGCAGTTGCGTTCTCAGCGCACATGGAGCATTGCTTGAGGTCAGAAAAAGGCGCGCACCCTGCCAAGTTGATGGAATAGGTCCTGCAGCGAGTCGTGTTTATGCCATAAGTTGCTTTACTTGCATAATAGTGTGTGAAGGCAATATTCTAAATGTTGCTGGGGTGTATTTCTTTCTTTGGTGATGCAGGATTTGTCCCGTCAATGGCCCAACATGCTTCGGCCTGCATGTGCGCGGTTCTTCGGTTTGCCACAACCTGCGACTGCGCCACACGACGGATATGCAGCACGAGCCGCGAGGACGCGTCGACGCAAGCATGGGTGGTTTCCCCTTGAACCGCCGAACTGCTCACGCCGACGCCATGAGTTAGTTGGTCGGATGCCATCGCTTTGCCTTCACGTTCTTCGGCCTTTCCGGGCAGGCGACGTGCGATTGCCTTGCCCACGACTCGCCGCATGTTCGCTCGCATGTTTTGTTTGCCAAGTTGGACGGTTCTTTGGCGCTGAAACTCGCGTGATGCACCGAAGGCCGACTTTCGCACAGAGCCGTTGCTTTCTCCCTTGACAGGATGTAGTCAGGTAGCAACTCGCTACTCGCGAGCACTGCGCGAAAGCATTGAGCAGCGACCCTCGCCACAATATCGCCCCACTATATGTGCGCGTCAGCGGCTTGCGCCATCATTGAGATCATAAATGCCGTTTAGGCATACGATAAGTTTCTGGCAAATCGGCTCTACCTACTGCAACGCGCCTCCAAGCTCACAGACGCCTTCCGGGCCCCCTGCGCAGAAATTTTGCCTCAGCTCTGTCGGAGGTACTTCCCCCCCTTTTTTCCTCCCCAAAAGCCATCCTCATGTAGGACCCTCTGGGAATACGCGCCGCCGGGGCACTCCCGTCCCTCATGTTGCAACCAGCTCCCCGGCGGCCGGCGACCTGCGGCCGGCGACCTGCGGACTGCGCACGGGCGCTGCGTCCGCAGAGCCCCCCACGCCGACACGGCGACCGCCGCCGCTTCAATGCCAAGGTGTTGCTGGGTGCCTTCAAGGAACCACCCCCCACGTCTGCAGATCCATGAAACAACCCATTTGGGCGACCGAACTGGTCAGTTTTTGTGACCGCCTACGAAGCTTGTGAAATAGCTACTAAGCTTATTTGTTTCTGAACCAGTCCGCCAGAACCCAAATCTGAAATGGGATGTTCCAGAAGCATGGTTTCCTCTGCAAAGGCAACCCTGAAAGGTTACGTTCCTCTTATGAAGCAGCGGGAGAGTTCAGAGTCGCTGTGAACATTTCAGATTTTCTGAACTGTTTCTAAGCTTTTCAGGAACTTCTGCTGAACTTGGGTGCCCTGGAAGACTACGTTCCTCTTATGAAGCAGTGGGCAAGATCAGTTCTTTTGAACTTTTCAGAAACAGATCTGAACTTGGGTGGCAAAGGATTTCTCACAGCATCGCCAAGGCTGGCCAAGTAGCACACGAAGTAGCAAATACACTGCAACTGAACAAGATTGGGAATCATAAGGGGGCAGAGCTTGCGATTTGGTCGGCATCACCTAGGCTGGCCAAATAGCAAAGCAAGCAGCAAAGGATTTTAACAGCTGACGTTAACTGCAACCAAACAAGATTGGTAAACATAAGGGAGCAGGGCTTGCGATTTGGCTCCTCACGGCATCACCTTGGCTGGCCAAGTAGCAAAAGAAGTAGCAAAGGATTCCAACTGCTGACGTGAACTGCAACCAAACAAGGTTAGGAAGCACCAGCGAGCAGGGCTTGCCGTTTGGCATTCTCACGGCATCACCTAGGCTGGCCAAGTAGCAAAGGATTTTAACAGCTCACGTTAACTGCAACCAAACAAGATTGGGAAACATAAGGGAGCAGGGCTTGCGATTTGGCTCCTCACGGCATCACCTAGGCTGGCCAAGTAGCACAGGAAGTAGCAAAGGATTCCAACTGCTGACGTTAACTGCAACCAAACAAGATAGGGAAACATAAGGGAGCAGGGCTTGCGATTTGGCTCCTCACGGCATCACCTAGGCTGGCCAAGTAGCAAAGGAAGTAGCAAAGGATTCCAACTGCTGACGTGAACTGCAACCAAACAAGGTTAAGAAGCACAAGCGAGCAGGGCTTGCGATTCGGCATTCCTCGCAGCATCGCCTTAGTCTGGCCAAGTCGCACAAGAAGTGGCAAAGCATTCCAACAGCTGACGTTCACTGCAACCAAACAAGATTGGGAAACATAAGGGAGCAGGGCTTGCGATTTGGCAATTTTTTACGGCATCAAATTCATGCTAACTTCAACCAAACAAGATTAGAAAGCACAAGGGAGCAGGGCTTGCTGTTTGGCATTCCCACGGCATCGCCTAGGCTGGCCAAGTAGCAAAGGAAGCAGCAAAGGAATTCAACAGCTGACGTTAACTGCAACCAAACAAGATTGGGAAACATAAGGGAGCAGGGCTTGCGATTTGGCTCCTCACGGCATCACCTAGGCTGGCCAAGTAGCACAGGAAGTAGCAAAGGATTCCAACTGCTGACGTTAACTGCAACCAAACAAGATAGGGAAACATAAGGGAGCAGGGCTTGCGATTTGGCTCCTCACGGCATCACCTAGGCTAGCCAAGTAGCAAAGGAAGTAGCAAAGGATTCCAACTGCTGACGTGAACTGCAACCAAACAAGGTTAAGAAGCACAAGCGAGCAGGGCTTGCGATTCGGCATTCCTCGCAGCATCGCCTTAGTCTGGCCAAGTCGCACAAGAAGTGGCAAAGCATTCCAACAGCTGACGTTCACTGCAACCAAACAAGATTGGGAAACATAAGGGAGCAGGGCTTGCGATTTGGCATTTTTTACGGCATCAAATTCATACTAACTTCAACCAAACAAGATTAGAAAGCACAAGGGAGCAGGGCTTGCTGTTTGGCATTCCCACGGCATCACCTAGGCTGGCCAAGTAGCAAAGGAAGCAGCAAAGGAATTCAACAGCTGACGTTAACTGCAACCAAGCAAGATTGGGAAACATAAGGGAGCAGGGCTTGCGATTTGGCTCCTCACGGTATCGCGTAGGCTGGCCAAGTAGCAAAAGAAGTAGGAAAGGATTCCACCTGCTGACGTTGACTGCAACCAAGCAAGGCTGGAAGCACAAGCGCGCAGGGCTACAGCAATTCAGGCTGCGCCAAATAATTAGCGAACTCCAAGAAAGCCAGCATAAGGGAGCAGGGCTTGTGACTTTGCATTCTTCACGGCGTCACCGAAGTTCAGCTTGTGTCCAGAAGAATCTGAACCTTTCCACTGCGTTCGGCAGAGCGGCGGCTCCGCCCGGCTGCGTGGTAGGGCATGGGCCGACACGTTTCCTGCGCTCCACGAAGGCTTCCGGCCCTTACCGCGCATCTCGTGTCGGCGCCGTTTCTCGAGGCTGCAGCTGCCAAGGGCTTGTGACCTGACCTGGCCGCCTACACCTCCCGGCGAGTTCCTGCGACATGTTCCGCTTCGCTCTGCTGCGCCTGTTGCCCTGCGGCTCGCGTCGTGTGTTGGAGCGCGCCCTCTCGCGGCGCCCTCTAGCCGTGGAGGCGCAGCGCGCTCTGGCGGCCAGCCCCCCCCCCACTGTCGCGTTGGGGCGCGGGCGTTCCCGGCCAGTGCCTAGCGTTAGCAGCGTTTTTGGTCCAGAAAAGAGGTGGAAAAAACTGTAGCACCCCGCTGTTGCGCTTAAACAAAGTTTGCCTGCATTTGCATTTTTGAAAAGGGATGTCAATGACGTAGGTTTGGCGGCACGCAGCTATGGACGGCTAACTGGCGCTGCTTTCACATTCTGCAGACGTGGCTCATCTTGAGTGCAGACAGCATTTCGTTAAATGTGATTAACCAAAATGAAACGAAATGACAAAGCTTTCGCAAATGTAGTTGGGCCCGCCTGCAAGCCCCCTAGGCCAACAGCCGTGCTCGAGACGCATTACCCCACTCGTACACGATACATACATCCATTACCTTCCGTCGCGTTGCGATACATAAATACAATATACGTTGTTGAAATGCGCGCAACCGAGCATGGTTTGCAAAATCGATTTTTCGCCCGCATCAATGACTCGCATTGTCATAGCCGTGACTG